CCTGTTCTCGCTGAATTTTATATAATTTTAAAAACTAATAGTTGTTACAGGGTGTATTCTATTTTTCTGACTTATCATTTTTACTTCTGTTGTACTGTGGATACTCTAATGGGTTTTTAACTTACATGCACACACATGTTTCTGTTATAACTTTTAAATTCTTAGCTTTATAAAACTACACTTTTATATTATAAACTCTTCACTATTTTATTAATAGAGCTTCTCACTTACTTAAGGCATATTCTTACTTATAACTATAGAAACACAAGTTGATGGTTTTTTTATGTTTATATTTCATGTCTGTGTCTGTTTCATGTTTCATGTTTAATGTCTTGTATTTTTACATTAATCTAAGTTTTTTTCTGAGGCTGTCGATCAAATCTTTTGGCGCCTGCGGAAGTTTTTGTTTTTCCAATTCCCACACCTGGGCAGAGGAAAACCTTCCCAAGGTGCTGGGGGATTTGTTCCCAAATTCACCCGGAAAACGGGAAGGATTGCAGGGCCCTCCCTGGGGCCTGGTGGCTCAGCGGGGTCTGGAGGGAAGAGGAATTCCCTGGATTTGTGCTCTCACCCTCCGAGTCGCTGCCTCCCCAGCAAGGACGGCTCTCCGCGCATCCTTGGGGCTTTTTGGCAGCAGGAATTGTTCTCCTGCAGGACCCGCTGGGAAAATGACATCCTGATGTGGGGAAAAATAAAAATAAAATTAAAAAAACCCAGCAGGATTTCTCCTGGGCTTCAGGATTGATGTGCTTCTGGAGGAGGAGGAGTTGCGGTGCCAAAAGAATGGGCCAGAATTTGGGATTTAAGGTGCAAAGTCACGTCCTAAGGGACCAGTGGGATAAATCAGGAGCTCTCCGGGTGGGAATGAGGCTGGGAATGAGGGATGGGAGAGCTGGAGGGGTGAGAAGTGCCTGGGAGGCAGCGATCCCAAAGGACCTGCCAGGGAATTCTCACCGGAGCCCGAGGGAGGTTTGTGCCACGGGGCAGATCCCACATTCCTCCCGAGGTCAAAGGAAAAATCAGAATAAAATCACAATAGTCCTGATTGCTCTCAGGACTCCAACAGGATGTTCAAACCCCAAAACATCAGTTTGGGGTGAAAAAAGCTCATTTGGGAAATGGGAAAGGCTGGAGCAGGTCCTGATAGGAAAAACAGGAATCGCACAGTGCAGGGTAAGGGAGGGCCTAAAAATAACATTTATTTTAAATATTTCTAATATTTTATAATATATAATTTTTTTTTAATTCTATTTATCTAAAAAGCAGACTGGAGGGGAGATGTTTCAGTGTTTGTGTGCACTCCCAGGGAACGTGTTCCCTGGGGAAAGTGGGAACTGGGGAAATGGGCTGAAAGCAGCCAGAAATGGGACATCCCAGCCCAGAGGATGTGACAGCAAAGTGTGACTCCAGCACTTTGATCTCCTCTGCTCTCCTTTGTTTGGGTGCTCTGCTCTGTTCTCTGGGGGTTTCGGCCTGAAATTCCTGAAATAATCAGATTTTCCAGCTCTCTCTTTGCAATCTTCCGAAATATTTCACCCTTGTCCTTCTCCTCCTGCTCGGCGTCAGGAATGGAAGGGCTTCATGGACAAGAAGAGGATGATGATGATGATGGTGATGAGCTGGGCTGTATTTTCCTTTTTCCTTTATTTTCCTTTTGTTAAAATCACTCATTTTATCCTCCTCAGTTTTCAGCCTTAAAATCTAAACCAGTGTTTTGAATTCTGATTTTAACTCTTGATTCTTTTATGCTCTGACTGTGCCCAAACAGAACCCTGTGAAAAGAGGGGTTGATTTCAGCCCCCCCAGTTTTATTCTTTATTTTTGCCTTCAAAATTCAGATTTTTTTTTTTTTTCCCCCTTGGAAAGTCATTGTTTGCCTTTCAAATTCAAAATTCAGATTTTTTTTTTTCCCTTGGAAAGTCATTGTTTGCCTTTCGAATTCAAAATTCAGATTTTTTTTCCTTGGAAATCGTTGTTTGGCTTTGCCTGTTGTGGGCAATGGAATGTAGGAATTTTCTGCTCTGCCTTTTTCTCCAAATCCCTCAAGCTGGGCTGAGTTTCTGGGGTTTTTAGCTGCCAAAATTTAAGTTACAGAAGGATTTCTGCGCATTCAGTTCTATAAAAATTAAATTTTTCCCATTTTGTATAATATTTTGCTATCACTGCTCCAATATTTTCCTTGATAAATGGAAAACTGGATAAATTTTCTTCTCATAATCTAAAACCACACAAGGGCAGCCTGGTTAAAAATTTCCATTAAAATATTGGAAGGAGAAATGGACACAAGAAGGATCTTCCTCAATTAAGGTTTTCCTTCTGGGTAATGAATGAAGGGATGAAAACAAGATTTTGGTGCAGTTGTAATTGAAAATATCTGGCTTGGCTTCCCAATTACATCTTGGGGGAAAAATGCATTTTTCACCCACAAGAACTTTCTCCTAGGAATTTCCAGAAAATGCAATTTTCCGTCCTTTGACTTTTTTCTGTAAATACAGTGTGAAAAAATGACATTTTTCTCTGACATTCATTCCAATTTTTTTCCCAGGCCTTCCCACTTTTTTTTCCATTTCTCTCTCTCCCCTCAGATTTAGAGATAGACCCAAAGTTTTAATTTGAATTAATCCCACCAAATGAATGTGCCAGGTATCCACAACTCCCCAAAATGCAGGAAAAAATCATCTGGGAGAAAGGCAGAGGGGGGAAGTTTTCCTGTTCTCGCTGAAATTCAGATTTATTTGGATTATCTGTAACTCTTATTTATGGTTATTTCTTAAATGGCTGGGACTGTATATAAGGAGGTTAAACACATTAAGGTTTCTAAACAGCATCATGAAAACTGTGTGAAAAGCAGATTTTTGTTTTGTTTTTAAAACAAAATCAAGCGAATTAAACAAGATTCTTCCTGTTATTAACAACAAAGGCTGTTTTACAGAGGTTAAATTTGCAAATTTTGAAGTTTCTAACTCCGTGGAGTGACAGTTTTTGTGCTTTCTGCAGCCAGGGCTTTGCCCCAAAGGGAGAAATGAATCCAGAAATTCCAGAATGACATTCCAAGATTACAGCTCTCCCAATCCTTTGCCTCCCTTCTGGCAGGAATTTGCTGCACAAAAGTGATTTTTATTTCCAGGAGCCTGATAACGGCGCGGTCCAAAGCTTCCCTGCCACAAAATCCACATTCCCCACATCCTCAGCCCTTCCCAAACCCCACTTTTGGAAGCTGCTTGGCAAAAATCACAGGGTTGTTTTTCTGTTTTTTGGTTTTTTTGAAGTGTGTTGAAGTCAGTGGAAGAGACAATTTAAATCAGCTGAGAATCTGTCCAGGCTGGGGGGATAAATTTAGGGAAAAGCTTCTCTTTTCTCCTGCTATTTTTTGAGCTGCTGCTCCACTTTCTCCCGGGTTCCTGGTGGAGAAGGGAAGTGTTTGGCACACTTTGGGTTTACAAATATTTCCTGGTGCCCTGTTTTCCTCAGGCAGCAGCTCTGGCTGACTCGGGGAGCTCACACCCCCCAGCTTCTCTGCCTTATCAAAATATTGGCAATATTTTAATCGGCAGCTGCTACCGCCAGGTTTCCCTTCAGGATTGTCCAAGCTGGATCCGTTTGCTGCTCGGGGAAAAGGCTGGGAAATGCATCCCATTGTTTGCTTTGGGAAAAAAAAAAAAAAGGCTTTTCCCATTGTTTTGCTTTGGAAAAAGAAAAAAGGCTTTTCCATTGTTTTGCTTGGGGAAAAAAAAAATAATTTTCTCATTGTTTTGCTTTGGAAAAAAGGCTTTTCCCATTGTTTGCTTTAGGGGAAAAAAAAAAAAGGCTTTTCTCATTGTTTTGCTTTAGGGGAAAAAGGTTTTTCCCATTGTTTTGCTTTGGGGAAAAAAAAGTCTTTTTCTCATTGTTTTTCTTTAGGGAAAAAGGTTTTTCCCATTGTTTTGCTTTGGGGGGAAAAAAGGCTTTTCCCACTGTTTTGCTTTAGGGGAAAAAAGGCTTTTCCCATTGTTTTGCATTAGGAAAAAAAGGTTTTTCCCATTGTTTTGCTTTGGAAAAAAAGGTTTTCCCCCATTATTTTGCTTTGGGAAAAAAAAAAAAAAAAAAAAGGCTTTTCCCATTGTTTTGCTTTGGGAAAAAAGGCTTTTCCTATTTTTAAAGGGGGTGACGTTGTCTGGAAAATCTATTGTTAATTTTAATTTTAAAATTATTTTATTATTATACTTTATTTTGTTAATTTGTTTTAATTTTATATAAAATTCTTTTATGCTGTTAATCGATTAATAATTATTATTAATTATTCTTCATAGAATCCCAGAATTCCAGGCTGGTTTGGGTGGGGAGGGAGCTGAAATCCCATCCAGTTCCACAGGCAGGGTCCAGATGAGATTTAAGGTCTTTTCCACTGTAGAAATGGCACAACTTTTAATGTTAAAAAGTTGCATTTGGAGCTGAATTTACAGTCAAAGCCCCAAAGCTGTTAGAGATGTGTTCAGAAGAATTTGGGATGAAAGACCAAGGTTTCATCAATTTAAGTGATTTATTCTCTGAAGAGTTCCAGGATTTAATCATTGAAAAGACATAACAGAGATATATAAAATATGAACATTTCCATAATAGAGGTAATAGATGATGTGTGTAATAATTAAAATATTAGTTATAATAATATATGGTGATACATTTCAGTGGAGTTTGTTTCCCTGGTCCTGTGGGGTTTATTTCCTGTTTTCATGGAGTTTATTTCCTATTTCTGTGGCATTTATTTCCCTGTTTCTGTGGAGAATATTCCCTGTTTCTCTGGGTTTTCTTTTCCTGGTTTTGTGGGGTTTATTTCCTATTTCTGTGGAGTTTATTTCCTATTTCCTGTTTCTGTGGAGTTTATTTTCGTGCTCCTGTGGAGTTCACTTTCCTGGTTTTGTAGGGTTTATTTCCTATTTCTGAGGAGTTTATTTCCTTATTTCCATGGAGTTTATTCCCTGTTTCTCTGGGGTTTATTTCCTGTTCCTGCGGAGTTTAATTCCTGTTTTTTGGAGTTTGTTTCCCTGTTTTAACGAAGGAAAAGTGACATTTTCTGGCAGTGAAGCAGCAGCAGTGCTCTCAGCACAGCCAGGTTGAAATGCTGTTTTTCAGCCCAGCCTTCCAACAAAAATCACTTTCACCTCTGGTACAAATTGCAGAGATAAAATGGTTGGTATTTTAGATCACAGCAATTAAGGCTATGCTAATTTTTTGATTAGGATCTGATTACCTCAAGAGGCCTCTGAACTGCTGTTGCAATTCATGTTAAATGATTTAATTATTTTTATCCTCTTTTTTTCACTGCACCCCCCCCACCCAGCGTGGTGTTTGGTTCACTTTGGTCTGCCAGGGCTTAAGGAGAAATTCTGCCCTTGGGACAAAGCCCTGCTCCAGTTTTGTTCATGGAAACAAAGGCAAAAATTGATTTATTAACTTTGAACTTGACTAAATCTGAACCTCAAAGCAGGGGACCTGGCTCAAGAGTCCAAACGCTTTCTAGTGGTTTATAAAAAACCACAGCAAATGCATAAATCTCTCTCAAAAAACCACAATTTCTGTTGTATTTAATTTCAACAACTTATGGATATAACATGGGGGATTTTTCCCTGGGCAAATACACAAAAATCTACCAAGATTGTGTTTATTTTTATGTGAAAACAACTGTTGGTGGCTTTTGGGTTCAATGACCTCAGTCAATGTGTCAAGGATGGAATATATTAAAATTTGCATCAGCACCACATTCTTTTTTGCCATCAGAGTAGCAATGCAGCTTCATTTTCATGCCACAGAAACCTGGCTGACGTTTTGCCAGTGAAATCTCATTTTGAGTCTTTCCCCACCTGCTGCAGGTCAATGCACAAACTGACTCAGCTGGAGAGGCTCGACCTGGGCAATAACGAGTTCTCTGAGCTGGTAAGAAATGCTCCGGATTTTAAGGGCAAACCTGGGGGGTTTGGGTGCTCTGTCCATGGGACATTGAACTTTTACTGCAGAGGCTTTGTGGGGTCGTGGCCTTGGGCAAGGGACACGTTTCCCTCCAGCCCAAGCCAGTCTGGGATTCTGCAATTCCAGCAGATGGCAATTTTGGACTCCCTGAGGAGTTTCTGCCCCTAACTCATCCCCAAAATCAGAATGAATCTCCCTGAGATTGAAATCTTTGGGGAATGTTCCCTGTTGTCAGCATAGGAAGTGAGAGGTGCTGTTCCTTGAACAGGATCAGGGATTGCAGTCCTACAAGGGAATAGCTCCTGTAGCTTTAGTTAAAACTGAGATAATTCCACCTCAAACAAGCCCTGAAATGTCACCTGGTGCTACAAAGCTGTAGCAAAGTCTCCACATCTGTTTTATGGAGCAGCTCCCACCCTGTTCCAGGCTGCTCATTTATTCCGTGCAGGAGGAAAGAGAGGATTTAACTCCAATTTTTAATTAAAATCTTCAGCGTGGATAAACAGAGAGAAATTTTCGGAAGAGCTGCTTGGAATTTTAATTGTAGGAATGAAATCCTGCCCGAGTTCAGAGCCTCTCTTCTGGGGGTGGCTTGGGTTTGTGGGGGTTGAAAGGAATTGGACAATATTCCACATATTTCCACGGCAGCCCAGTGATCCCACGAGTGACAGACCAGGAGAGAGGTGATCCCCTCCTCCTGCTAGGGCCAGAATTCCCGAGTTGACTCATTTTTCAGCCAAAATGTAAGAACTGGAATCAAATTCCAGGAGCCAAATGGCCCAAGAGGCCAAGGCACAGTGGGAATGTGCAGGAATGTCTCAGGAAAGGTGGTGCTAGTTTAACTCACACCTGGAAAAAAAGGATTAAAAGGACCTGTTTTCATGGATGCTTAACATCTGATTTGGGTTTCCATAGAAATTCCCTTTTAGAGGAGAAAGGTGGGTGGGTGGTGTGGGAGAGCCTCATTTCCCTGCTGTCCTGGGGCTGTTGTGACTTTCCCACTTTTTGACTTTTTCCCACTTTGTGACTTTTTGGGGCTGGAGAACTCTGTGTCCTTCCTGATGGAGCCACGGCCAGAATGAGCTTCTCTTTATTTATTTTCTCTTCATTTATTTTCTGTTCATTTATTTATCTTCTGCTCTGCTCAGCCACCCTGCTGGGATCAGGGCTCCCAGATCCAGGGAGACCTGTGCTCTCCTGGAATGCCAGTCTGGCTCCCTGAAGGAAGGGAAGAGGCAGCTCCTGTCACTCCAGGAGCAGCAATTCCCAAAGTTTGGCACCTCCCTGGTTCCCTCTGGGGAGTCAAACCTGGGGGAGGAGGAGGAGGAGGAGGAGGAGCAGCTCTGCCAGGTTTGGCTCCAGAGGTCCAGGAGTCTGCAGCGAGGCTTTGGGAGAAATTCAGGAGGGGAGGAAAAGGAAAGGGGATGAGATAGAATGTGGCTTTCTCAGGAATTCCTGTGAGTCTTCCATTCTGACTCGATCCCAGGAAGCTTTTCTGCAGGGAGAGGGTGCTCAGACCCTGGGACAGCTCCTGGAAAGGGACATTTGGACAATTCCCTGAATAATATCCTTTAAGGTTTGGTCAGACTGAGTCGGTCAGGGAGCAGGACTGGGTGGTCAGTGTAAAACCCTTCCAGCTGGGTCCCTCCTGTTCTGTTCCTGTTCCTATTCCTATCCCTATTCTATTCCTGTTGCTATTCTATTCTGTTCTATTTTATTCTATTCTGTCAAATTCCTATCCCTTTTCTGTCCTATTCCTATTCCCATTCCACTCTATTCCAATTGCAGCATCCTATGTGAAAAATGAGAATATTCCTCAAACAGGCCCAAAGCGAAGCATTTCTAACACAGACAAAGGAGTTTTTAATGGCACTTTAATACCAACCCATCCACGAGATCTGGATCATGGTGGGCCATAATGTGGAATATTCCGTGGTGCCCCACAATAATGGGAAATTCCATCATCCTGGGAAATCACAATCCAAGGAATTCCCCATCAAAGTGTGCTCTGCACAGCCCGGGAACAGGCCTTGAAGAAAGGTGTCTGTTAATGAGAGGGATCGAAAAGCAAATTAAAGTTGAGAGGGGAAATTATGATTATCCATAATGACCTCAGCCCATGAACACTCCAGAGGGATAAAGAAACATTAATCAGCACAGGAACAAATAGTATCAAATGCCCATTAATCAGTTCAGGCTGGAAATGAGAAGTGGTTTTAATCATGGGAGGACAGCGGAATTTCAATGGAATTAACAGAGGCAAAATAAATCATCTTTAAAATGCTCACCACTGGTTTTTAATAGGAGCTCATTACGTGGAGATGTGGAAAACAAGGGGTGAGTTCTCCTGTTCATCAGCTTTGTTCTCACCTGCTGAGGCATCAGGAGCTTCTCCCACCATTCCCTGGGCAAGTGGAAAATCAGATTTCCCCTGGGAATGGCAACATTCCAAACCAGAGCACGCGGGATAACTCCAGGTCTCTCTTGGGGTCTGGAGGTCCATTGGCTTCTGCCTGTGTTGGAATCATTCCAGGGCAATTGTTCTGCTTCCAAAAGCTGATTTGGAATGGAATTTTTCACGGAATATTTCCTGGAGCGTTTAATACCGGGTTCTGACAGGCTTTGGAAAAAAAATCTCTACAACCTGAGAGGGCAAAGGCGAATTCCAAGTGCTGGTTTGCTGGGGAAAGTGTTTTATGGGAAAGAAAACACTGCTGAGGAAACCTGGGAATATTTGTGGCCTGGATTTGTAATTCTGGGATTTCACAGCTGTAAGGAGAGAGGAGTGATGTGGGGAATTGCCTTTTTTAGCTCCTCTCACTGATACCCCAAAAAAGAATAAAACAGATGAAAGTTTGATTCTGCAGTTGCAGGTTTTATCATTTTCTCCTGTGCCTTCTGACTCCTGGCTGTGCCAGCTGCAGATGGTAAATCTCCCCAGGACGTGTCCTTTGGCCTCATTTCTTTTGCAAAAGGTTCTTAAATTGTACAAGTTCTGATAAAGAGCAGGAGTGGTTAAATTACATGAAGAGAATGTTCTCTTCTTGTCCTTGAACTCCTGGAAGGCTGGGGTATGAAAAACCAAAGGGAAGTGAAGAGGGAAGCTTTATTTTTTTAAGAAAACATTGATTTTTATTTAACTAAAGATGCATTGCTTTACTTAGCTGCCCATCATTGTTTATTCTTTTCCTCAGCCTGAGGTTCTTGAACAAATCCAGAACCTGAAGGAGTTGTGGATGGACAACAATTCCTTGCAAGTGCTACCTGGGGTATGGACATTTATTTTAGGGAATTATTGGGTGATTTGGTGATTCCCTGTTTGCCTGGCAGGGAACACCTGCCTGTGCATTTCCTTGGGGGGGTGCAGAGAGTCATTAATTAATTAATTCATTCATTCACATAAAAGTTTTGGGATGGTTCAACACAGAAAAGCTCCACCTGCCTGGTGGAAGGTGGGAATTGGGAATATCCCTTGGATCTGTATCCAGATGGAGAAGTACCTCAGCTGCATGCCCAGGAATGCCAAATCCCAGCAGATTTAATGAATTTGGAGCACATTAATTAACCTGGGAGGGTTAATTTTGTTCCTTTGAGGCTGAGCCCTCCCCGGCCCTGCCGAAGGGCACTGAGATAACCCCGGATCAGCTGGATTTGTGTGTTTGTCTCTAATTAACGCTCTAATTAACAGCTCTATCTGCTCAAGTAACTCTGTCTCACGTGCTATTAAGTCTATAGGGAAGTTAAAACAGCTCGTGTACCTGGATGTGTCCAAAAACAGGATCGAGACGGTCGACCTGGACATCTCGGGCTGTGAGGGGCTGGAGGATCTCCTCCTCTCCTCCAACATGCTGCAGCAGCTGCCAGATTCCATAGGTGAGGAAGGATCTGGGATTCCTCTCCCTTTGATAGATTTTTAAATTTTTTTAATATATATTTTTTTTTAAATTTTTGGAATTTAATTTTTTGGAATTTTTGGAAATTTGGGATTTTCTAGTCATGGAGAAAGGCCTGCCATTCAGTCCCAAAGGAGGCAGAAAATGGTGTCTGGACAGTCCCATTTTGTAAAGGCAGGAGCAGAATTCCCTGGCTGGAAGGAACTGGTCCAGCTGGTTTGCTGTTTTTAGGAGAAGAAGCCGAGAAAGGCAGAATTAATTCCATTTAAATGTAAAAATCAGTCTGGGAGTGAGGATGGGATTGCTGCTCACTCACAGTAGGAAAAGGGAATAAAAAGGAAATAATTCAAACTGTGAATTTTTATTTTGTCTGTTTTACATACATGGAATTCCTGGATTATTCAGGATCACATCCCTCTGTCCCTTGGGATATTTCTTCTCAGTCCTGAGCCCTTTTCCCTTTCCCTTTGAACACGGAACTATAAGATTCCTCGATTTTAAATCAATTTACTCAGATTCCAACAAAGATTGCTAACTAAAGCTTCTAATTATTGACATTCTTACTGGGTGTCTTCTCCTCCTATTTTCCATCTTGTTCTTCTACATCTCCCCATCAATCCCAGGATTTTTGTTCCCCCAGACTGGTTTTTAGAGGGCATTTAGCAGGAATAAATCCATTTGGAATGATGCTCCCTAAAATCCAGAGCAGAGCTGTTCAGGGCTGCACACCATTGCTCATGGGATTCCAGGAGATCTCCATGGGAGCTGTTTATCCATCATTTCTTCCTGCAGGATTGTTGAAGAGACTGACAACCCTGAAAGTGGATGACAACCAGCTCACCATCCTGCCCAACGCCATTGGAAAGTGAGTCCAACTTCCATCATTTTTAATTAAAATACCTTTCCCCTTCTGCTCAAGGAGTGTGGGCTTTCAAATAGAAAATAAGACAAATATACTTTGAATTATGAAATAACTTCCAACCCCCAGGTTGTGACATTGAAATTTGGAGCACTACTTTTAGTCCTGGGGATTTTTCAGTGCAAGGGGGAAGAAGGTAAAATACATCCAGTTTTCCAAGAGGAAAACCAAAGGTTTGGGTGTGAATCAATTTGGATGAGCAGAGAAGGGAAAGCAGAAGAATTTGGGGGAAATCCATCTGTTTCCATGGCAACAGCCAGGGCTTGGAGCTCACAAGGATCTGGCTGTGGCCTCACAGGGATGGAGAGTTCCTAAAATATGACAGAAACCTCTGTGGGAAAGCCAGGAGGATTCCAGGGGCTGGGATCATGGGAAGCTCTCTGGTGTGGGGTCTCACATGGCTCTGCCTCCTTCTGCTGAGGGGCTGCAGCTTGGTGGCTTCCAAAATCCTCCAGAATGATCCCATCCCACCCCTGCCAGGGCAGGGACACCTCCCACCATCCCAGGCTGATCCACACCCTGGCCCTGGCCTGTTTCAATGAGAATTTAGCTTTTTGTGATGCCATTTGGGAAAAATAATCCCTGTTTGTGACCTGTTCCAGCTGCAGCCAGTGAAAGCCCAGGCTGGCTCATCCTTGGAGTGTTTTGTGTTTATGGGATTTTTATGGGGAGCATTAAAAGCTGGTGATGGGAATCACTGAAGGGCAAATCTTTGCTCTCCAAATCTCTGTGGAGCAGCAAGTTCTCCTCCAAGTGAAAGCTCAGGAGGCTCCAAGATCTCCTGGATGCTGCAGAAAGATGGATTTAAATCCAGCTTCAGCAATTTTGGGAGTCGGGTTCTAAAACCCTTTAAACCTTTTATTTTTTATTATTGTTGAAGGGGAATTCCCTGTTTTAGCCCAGCATCTCTTCAGTGTTTGCCACGGAGCCTTATTTCCATTTCCAAAGGCACAGCCACTGCTCCGAAGTGGAATTGCAGAGCAGCTGGGATCACCTGGGCTCTCCACCTTGTGCTGGAGCCCCTGGCTGTGCTTTTCCAGTGAAAAATTCCCTCTCCTCTATCGAGGGCAGAGTGTCCCACATCACAGGGAACTCAGCTCTCTGCCTCATCCCTTTGGATGGGTTCCTGCCAGGAAATTTCCTCCGAAATTCCAGTGGTGGAACCCCCCCAGAGGCTGTCCCCGTCCCCCAGGGATGGGCAGTGTGGAGGGGGAACATTCCCTCTGGGATTGCTCCGTGAGAGCACTCCGTGCTGGCTTCATGCTCTGCTGGGCAGTTCCACCCTCGTTTTTTGGGATTTCTCTGCAAAGGACCAGTCTGTGGTGGCTCAACCAAACATTCCACACAAAACCAGGGATGCCCGTGAATTCCCTGGTGCAGCAGAGGGCTGGAGATGTTCCCCGTGGGATCTGGGGGGTGGGAAGGTGCCTGGGGGAATTTGGGACCCCCAGCTGGGCCTGGGGCAGTGTCTGGGGCACGGGTCCAGCCTGTGCCAGAGCAGATCTGTATTCCCAGGTTTGAGCAGGATCTGGAGTGGAAGAACCAGAGGGAATGGAGCTGGAAGAGCTGAGATCAGTGATTAGGATGAGGACAGGGGGGCACAGCTGAAGCTGTGGCTGCCCCATCCCTGGAAGTGTCCCAGGCTTCCCAGGAAAGCAATTACAGGGAAGTTCTGCAGGTTCCCTGGGAGGGACAGCAATCCCTGCTTTCATTTGGCAGCAAATCTGAAGGCGGAAAGATCTTTTCAATTAAGAAACTGAAATAAAGGTGAATTAGATACAGAGTGAAGACCCAGTCCTGCAGCTGAGACTCCTGTGAATCCTACAGAACAAGGTCTGTGGAAGGCGTGGTCAGAGCTAAACCTCTTAACAGATCCTCCAAAATATTTGTGGAAAAAACAGAGAATCCCCTGACAAGTCCCTAAGGCAGTGGTCAGGGAGATGGGAAATAATTGGCTGTTACTTAACCTTACTCTGATTAAAGTATTTGAGAGTAAGAGGTGGAAGGTGAGGAGCAAAGGGGGCAGAGGAGCTGGCTGCTGGCACTTGTGGTGCTCACACAGCTTTCACTTGAAGGATTTTAATGTGCAGTCTTGTTTTAGAAGATTAGGAAATTCTTCTTCAGAATATTTTAATGTATGTCTATAACCTGTGTATTTAATGTGTATATTTGTATATCTCACTCTGTAATGTGCAGGACATCCATATATTCCCATTGGAATATATTCCCACTCCCCCTCAGTGGTGTCTGGTGACCCAGACCCCAGACTTCAACCCTTAAACCTGTCACTTGGGTTAGCAAACATTAAATTCTTGCTTCCATGACCTTGCTGGCCCTGATCTCTGTCTGAAGTCCTTGGAATCCACGTTCTTCAATATCCTCAATATCCCAGAAAATCTGAACGGTAGCATGGGAAAACCAAGCAGCCAAATCCCATTGTTATAGACTCCTGCCAGGGAAATCATGGAATGATTTGGGTTGGGATGGACCTCAAAGACCTTCCACTGTCCCAGGCTGCTCCAGCCTGGCCTGGGACGCTGCCAGGGATCCAGGGCAGCCCCAGCAGATCTCCCCTGGGTGTTCCCTCTCAGGGCTGGTGGAGCCTGGAGCTGGTGAAGCTCCCGGAGGTTTGGGGGCTGTTAATTGGGTGATGCAGACCCTGCAGGGCCACTAACGAGGGGTTTCCCATTCCAGCCTGTCCCTGCTGGAGGAATTTGACTGCAGCTGCAACGAGCTGGAGTCGCTGCCCTCCACCATCGGGTACCTGCACAACCTGCGCACCCTGGCCGTGGACGAGAACTTCCTCCCGGAGCTGCCCAGAGAAGTGAGAGCTGCTCCATGCCCCATTCCAGGCTGGGATGTCCTGGGGAGCCAGTCATCCATCCCTGAGATGTCCTGTGGGAGCCACCATCCCATTATCCCATTATCCCATCCCATCCCTGGGATGTCCTGTGGGATCCAGGATCCATCCGATCCCTGGGATGTCTCATGGGAACCAGAATCCCATTATCCCATCGCATCCCATGCATCCCATCCCATCCCATCCATCCCATCCCATCCCATTATCCCATCCCATTATCCCATCCCATCCCATCCCTGTGAGGAACCCCAGGTGTTCCCTGAGGTTCCTGCCAGCAGGAAAATGTCGTTTTCTGGTTGAATTTTGGATTTCCTGCCTTTTGTGACTTTCAGTAAAACTCAATTTAGCCACCTCCCGACATGAAAAGTGATGACAAACATTCCCAAATTTGGGGTTCCATCATTTGGGCTTTTCCATTCCCGCAGATTGGGAGCTGTAAGAACGTGACTGTGATGTCCCTGCGCTCCAACAAGCTGGAATTTCTGCCTGATGAGATTGGCCAGATGCAGAAGCTGAGGGTGTTAAATCTGAGTGATAACAGGTACAGTTCACAGCACTTTTTTTAGCCAATTTAAGAATTATTTTTTTTAATTTAAACTTTTCCTTTGACGTCTTTGTAAAGATACATTTCTCTGAAATATATTTTAAAATTAAAAATATATTCAGAATTCTAGTTTTAAAAGAGCATCACTATCATTTAATTTATTTAAGCTTTAAGGAAAGAAGCTTGGGGTTTTTTTCTTAATCTTTGTGGTTTGGTCTCAGCTCCTTTGACATCCAAGGGAAAACTTCAAGAGAATCCCCCTCTTTCTGTTCCTAAAAGGGCTGAGAGAACCCCCCCTTCCAGTTCCTAAAACCGCTGAGTGAATTCCCCATTCCCATTCTTAAGGAGCTGAGTGAATTCCCCTTTTCTGTCCTAAAAGAGCTGAGAGAATCCCCCCTTTCTGTCTGTACTTCTGGGGTCACTCCCACAGAAGTCAGAAGAGCTCCTCAGACCTCACCACCCATCCCCACAAATTCCATTCCCTGTGTCATTCCCTCCTCCTGGGCCGGAATTAGGATTTAGTCAGGGTGTTTGCACATGTGTTGCTACAGATGAAGAATTTTTCCTGCACTGTACAATTTAAAAGTAAAAAAAAAATGTGTTAGAAAAAGAGGCTGGGGCTTGGCTTGGCTGGAAATGTTCAAAGCCCAGCAATGATTTTGGGTGCTCCCTGTCTTTGATCCCGAATTTGAGGTTTTTCCTTTCAAAGTCATTAAAATCAGACCTTGTTCGATGTTTAAAAGTTTCATCTGGGGGTCTTGGCAAAGCAAATGAAAAATGCAGAGTTCTGTGATTCGGTTGGCAATGGAACTGGAAAACCAGCATGGAATGGTCTTGTCCCACATGATTCCAAGGGCTGTGGCCAGTTCTTCTCCCTCGGATTCCCAGCTCTCCACCCGAGTTCCCTGGAGCATCCCAGTGCCCTCCCAGAGACCCCTTTCAGTCTAGTCCTGATTTTTGTGTTCTGTTCTGAGGTGACCAGAAACGTGGGAATCACTTCTGTGGGATGCAGTCTGGCACGAGAGGGCTCTTCCTCCTGGTTTTTTCCAGATCTCATCCAGGATTTGGTTTTTCCAGTGCTCCTTTGGTCACTCCCAAAATCTGGGAGAGCCTCAGTCCATGGCTGGGCCAGGCTGGTTGGGAAAGAGCAGGGTTAGGTGGGAAATGGGGAAGGAATTCTTGGATGTGAGGGTAGGGAGGCCCTGGAATGGAATTCCCAGATTTGCTGTGGCTGCTCCATCCCTGGGAGTGTCCAAGGCCAGGCTGGAGCAGCCTGGGATCATGGAAGGTGTCAGTGGGATGGGATGGGATAGTGGGATAATGGGATAATGGGATAATGGGATAATGGGATAATGGGATAATGGAATGGGATGGGATGGGATGGGATTTGGGGTCTCTCCCAACCCAAACCACCCTGGATTCCATGATTCTATAGAAACAGCCTTTTCAGAAGGAGTTATGGCAAAAACTTCAATGAAGATTCCACAAATATCCTGCCATCCATTCCCATTCCCACTCCCAGATCCCTTTCAGGAAACTGTGTTTAAATGTCTCATTAAAATGCTGGGCTGTTTTTTCCCTGCTCCATTTAGTGTTGTCATTTAGGTTCACTATGAATATTTATATTATTTCAATCTTTAGTCTGACATTCCAACAAAAATGAATTTTCCATCATCTTGGAATATTTCTGTTCCAAACCTCCAGTGCCCAATAAAGGGAGCTCAGTGAGTGACTCTGAGGTTCCTCTAAACCTCCCTGGGACCAAGTTTTTTTTCTTTTTTCTGTCTTATATGTGTAATTTTATTACACTTTAACCAAAGGAAAATATGAGTCTCTCCTCAGTACCAAAGGATGTGGTGTCAGCAGTTCTGCTTTCCAAACAGAACCCTTAATGTGGAATATTAATCAGATTAATAATAGTAATAATAATAATAGGAGCAATAGGAATAACAATAACAGGAACATTGATAAAATATTGCATTTTAGTAAAATTTATTTTAAAAGCAGTGAAATTTTAGCTATTCCAGTGTGACAAACATGCTGCCTACAAATCTTTAAATAAATTACTTTGGAAATGAAGGATTCACCTTGTCCCAATATTCTCCTTTACAGACTGAAGAATTTGCCCTTCACTTTTACCAAACTGAAAGAACTGGCAGCCTTGTGGCTTTCTGACAACCAGGTAATGCCTTTCAATATTCCCATTTTCCTTAGGAAAGGGGCTGTCAATGAACCTTGTCACTCAATACAAGATTTAGAAGAATTTTGGAAGGGTTTGCTCCCAGCCCAGCTGTAGATTTCCATATCCAGCCATAAATCCTGCTGGGTGTCATTTTTTGCCATGGAAAAATCACTTTTGCAGGATTTATTTTACCAGGATCAGCTTCTGCCTCCTTACCAAAGTAGTAAATAAAGGGCAAAAGTAGCACGGGAGTATTTTTGAAGTAGAAATTCAAGATGTTCGTTCCCAAACTCGTTATTATCCTGTTCCCACCCTTTGCTCCATCTGCTCCTCTACCCTTGGCTTCCTCTTCCTTTTTCCCACCCATTCTCCCATCCCTGCACATTTGAAACTCCACTGCAGTCAGGCAGAGTTCAAACAAGTCAAAGCTGCACGAGGACTCTGGGTCTTGCTTTGGAGAAAACTCATTTCTGTGCCTTTGAAATCTGAGGGGGCCCTTCTTTGTTCCAGGACTCTGGTTTATAGCAGATATTCTTTGGGATTCTATTTTAAACCAAATTATGCAACAGGAACCCTGAGAAATGCAACGGTTCCAGCAGCAGCTGAGCCCTAAAATAAGTCTGAAATGTACATTTAGTTTTAGAGCCGAGCCAAAAATGTGAAATCTGAAAGGGGGCGGGGGGTAATAGGGAATTATGATTAAATTTTAATGTGTTAAATGAGGATTCTTGGGGTTTTGCATCTAAAAATTTGCATTTTAAAAAATAACATTGCCTGGCTGTGCAGCCCAGGCACAGAACACCCCCAGCCCTTTAAATATATGACATTTCCCAGCATTTTGACTTTCCTGTGGCACAGCAAGGATTGATTTCCACCCTCTGGGCTGTGACAGTCACTCCTGGATCAGAGTGACTTTGGGTAGAGCAAAGCAGTGATCAAACATCCCAGCTGCAGTGAAACCCAGCAGGAACTCCCAGGGAATGCTCCTTGGGAATTCTGCTGTGCCCTGCACCAGGTTTACTCCCAGGTGAACTGCCAGCCACCAGGAATTTACTCCTCATCGTTAATTAACTCTTCGTTAGGCCTGGCTTAAAACGCATCCCAAGGGGTGTTTAAGAGTGCAGTGCCAGGTCTGCTCCCCGATCCTTTCCCCTTGGAGCAGCAGGCAGTTCTCCCCATGTCCTGTTCTGCTGGGAATGCCAGGAACCGCAGGGAAGGCGCAGCAGGCTCTGCTCTCCTCCCGCCCACGGGGAGCTGAGTTCCTGCAGAGCTGCAGCCAGCCTGGTGCTCCTGAGTTAATGCATGTGGTCCCATTCTGGTGGTGGGGTTATTGTTATTATTGTTGTTATTGTTGCTATTTATTATTATTATTATTATTATCATTATCATTATCATTATTATCATTATCACTATCATTATTATTTTCTTACATTGTTATTATTCCATTATTATTTTTATTGTTATTGTTATTATCGTTATTATTGTTGCTATTGTTATTATTGTTGTTATTATTATCATTATCCTGTTGTTATTATTATTATCATCATCATCATTATCCCATTATTATTATTGTTGTTATTGTTATTATTATCATCATTATCCCGTTGTTATTATTGTTGTTGTTATTGTTGTTGTTATTTTTGTTGTTGTTATTATCCCATTATTATTGTTGTTGTTTTTGGTTTTATTATTATTGTTATTATTGTTGTTGTCATTGTTATCCTGTTGTTGTTATTATTATTGTTGTTATTATTGTTAATATTGTTGTTGTTATTGTTATTATTGTTGTTATTGTTATTATTATTGTTGTTGTTTTTGTTATTATCCCATTGTTGTTGTTATTTTTGTTGTTGTTGTTGTTATTGTTGTTGTTATTGATGTTATTGTTCTTATTGTTGTTATTGATGTTATTGATGTGATTGTTGTTGTTGTTATTGATCTTGATGTTATTGATGTTATTGTTGTTGCTCTTGATGTTATTGATGTTATTGATGTTATTGTTCTTATTGTTGTTATTGATGTTATTGATGTGATTGTTGTTGTTGTTGTTATTGATCTTGATAATATTGATGTTATTGTTGTTATTGTTGTTGTTGTTATTGATGTTATTGTTGTTATTGATGTTGTTGATGTTATTGATGTTACTGTTGTTATTGTTGCTGTTGTTGCTGTTATTGATGTTATTGCCATTATTGCCATTCTCATCCGTGTGCTCCCATCCCGCAGTCCAAGGCCCTGATCCCGCTGCAGACCGAGGCGCACCCCGAGACCAAGCAGCGAGTGCTCACCAACTACATGTTCCCGCAGCAGCCCCGCAGCGACGAAGGTACAGCCGCGCTCCCCTGCTCCCCGACATGCCAAACACCAGGACATCCCTGCTCTGGAACACACGGGGGGTGTCCCCAGGCTGCCAGACCGACATTTCTGATTGACACTGTCAGATTGACACTGCCACACTGACATCTCTGATTGACACTTTCAGATTGACACTGCCACACTGACATCTCTGATTGACACTGTCACACTGACATTTCTGATTGACACTGTCAGATTGACACTGCCACACTGACATCTCTGATTGACACTTTCAGATTGACACTGCCACACTGACATCTCTGATTGACACTGTCACACTGACATTTCTGATTGACACTGTCAGATTGACACTGCCACACTGACATCTCTGATTGACGCTGTCACACTGACATTTCTGATTGACACTTTCACACTTTCACACTGACATTTCTGATTGACACTTTCAGATTTACAATGCCACATTGACATCTCTGATTGACACTTTCACACTGACATTTCTGATTGACAGTTTCAGATTCACACTGTCATACTGACATTTCTGATTGACACTTTCAGATTTACACTTTCACACTGACATCTCTGATTGACACTTTCAGATTTAGGCTGTCATACTGACATTTCTGATTGACGCTTTCAGATTTCCACTTTCACACTGACATTTCTCATTGACACTTTCAAATTTACACTTTCACACTGACATGTTCTGATTTACACTTTCAGATTCATTCTTTCAGACTGATATTTTCTGATTGACATTTTCTAATTTACATTTTCACACTGACATTTTCTGATTCACATTTTCACATTGACATTTTCTGATTTACAGTTCCACACTGACATTCCCTGATTTACACTTTCAGATGTCAAAACTTTCAGATTTACACTTTCAGACTGATATTTTCTGATTTACAATTTCAATGCACACCTTCACCCTGACATTCCCTGATTTACATTTTCACACTGACATTTTCTGATTCACAGTTTCATACTGACATTTTCGGATTCACATTTTCACATTGACATTTTCAGATTCACACTTTCAGACTGACATTCCCTGATTTACATTTTCACACTGACATTTTCTGATTCACAGTTTCATACTGACATTTTCGGATTCACATTTTCACATTGACATTTTCAGATTCACACTTTCAGACTGACATTCCCTGATTTACATTTTCAGACTGACATTTTCTGATTTACAATTTCAGAATCATACTTTAAGACTGACATTCTCTGATTTACACATTCAGCCTGACATTCTCCGATTCACATTTTCACACTGACATTCTCTGATTTACAATTTCAGACTGACATTCCCTGATTTACATTTTCAGACTGACATTTTCTGATTTACAATTTCAGAATCATACTTTCAGACTGACATTCTCTGATTTACACTTTCAGACTGACATTTTCAGATTTACAATTTCAGACTGACATTCTCTGATTCAGATTTTCACACTGACATTCTCTGATTTCCATACTTTCAGACTAATATTTTCTGATTTACAATTTCAGACTGACATTCTCCGATTTACCCTTTCCCCCTGACGTTTCCTGAGCCCCTTTTGCTTTCAGACAGGCTTTGCAGGAGCAGTCTGAGCCCAGCTCTGGTGTGCAGGAATTGCTGGCTCCGGGCAGGAGCTGGGAATGTCCAGCTCCATGCTGTGGGAGCTCAGGGCTCCCAAACTCGGCTGGATTGAGGCTTTGCTCCTCCCACAGCTCCACTAAATTCACATTTTCACTCTGCCCCTCTGCTCCAAGCCCTGCTGGTGCTTCCCCCCTCCTCTCATCCTACTTTTATTCACAACCCTGGAACGGTTTCTCATTCTCCCTTCAGTTTCCAAACAATCACCCGGGTGACCAACCAGGAAAATCCGTTTGGATCATTCCCACCTCCCTTTCCAATTCCCTGCAGATTTCCAGTCGGACAGTGACAGTTTCAACCCCACTCTCTGGGAGGAGCAGAGGCAGCAGAGGATGACTGTGGCCTTTGAGTTCGAGGACAAGAAGGAAGAGGAGGAGAATCCAGGGAAAGTCAAGGTGAGTACTGCTGGATCTGCTCTGGGATTCACTTATTGTGGGCAGGGTTCAATATGCAGGCCTTGAATTGAGCTGGGTTTGGGTTTGAGTGTCACATTCCTGCTCTGTCCCAAAGGGAATTGAGACAGAATAGCTGCCCAACTTTTTTATTTACAGATTATATTTATTTACAGATTATATTTATTTACATATTATATCATACTATATTTTATTATAAATTATATTATATTATATATTATTTTATTATATTTATATTATATTCTTCATATACTATTCTATTTATATATTTATAATTATAAATTATCATTATAAATTATTATTATATTTATATATTAATATAATATTGTAATTATATAATTTAAATTATATTATTTCTACATAATTACCACCCAACCACTGCTTTTTCAGGAATATTTGAATCCCACAGGGAATCCCATATTCCTCTCAAAGCAGAAGTCAACGAGGGCTTTGCAGCCTCGTGGAATGTGCAGTGGAGAGGGCATCACCTGTGAAAAATGGAGTTCAAAGCACGAATTTCCTCCCCCAGTTTGGTGAAATTAATGTTATTGCAGAGCTCTCCATCAATCCCTCAATCAGCTGCATTGTCAGGAGGATATTTTCAAACCTGTCAGCCTTTACATGCCATGGAAATCTCTCCTTCTTGAATAATATCAAGGAATTATCCCACACTTCAACCCTGCAGATTTCTAACTGTGGTAGAACACCCAGGGTAAAATGTAGGGTCAGAGATAAAATCATCTGAGGAGATTTAAATCAGATTTTACTTCTCAAATTAACAGTTCTCTTGTCAATAGCATTTTAACACCCCACTGAAAACTTGGTGGAAATTCTTAATTTTTCTTTCCAATATTTTTCCCAGTTGGGAATTTCTCTCCAGCTCCTGTGCCCAGAGCTAATGGATTCTTCTGCTTTAGTGAAACAGAAAATTAATCCAAAAGCAGCCTTCACGTCACAATAAATAGATTAAAGTGGAATTTTACCCTGGATGAATTGCAGGTTTGTGGGTCACGCATGGAAAACAGCATCTGGGAAAGTTTTCTGTTGTTCCACAACTTTTATCAGAATTTTCCCTGGCGGTGACATGGCTGGGGGTTTCAACATGAACATTTTTAGCAGTTCCACCAGAGCTTTAAGGGATAAATTTAAACAAATATAAATTCTCAACAGGCAGTAACCAACACTGCAGCATTTCCTAACAGCAGAAGAAGTTTCCACTTTTCATCTCTCATCAAACAACTTTCAGCCAGAGAGATGTTAAAATAGATTTGATAATTGGGATTGTTCAATAGTTGTTTTTTTTTTCCATCAAGGATTTTGAACTCTGAAAATTCTCTCTTAGGGGTCAGGCTGCTTTTGATGTAGCCCTGGAAAGGGATTGGCAGGGAATACAGATTTCCTCTGGGATGGGGAATGTGGATCCAAGGGAAAGATCCGCGTCCCACTGCTGTCCTCCACCAGAGCTGCAGGAGCTTGGCTGTTGGATGTTAACACTCCCAGGGAGGTGAAACCCCTGCTGCAATCCCAGTTTGGGGTTGTCTGTCTCGTCCCAGCCTCCAGTCCCTCCTCCCTGCTGGAGTTGCTGAGGATTTGCTCTGTGCCTTGCCCTCAAGCCATGGCCTGAGCTCTGGGAGACACCAAGCGCCTCATTAGGCCACCCCTGAACACAATTCCCTTCAGCCAGAATTGAAGCAGAGCTTTTAGTGCTGCTTTCCAGACTTGATCTGTCTTTTTCTGTTGGAATTCTTTATTAAAAGTGACATCCCACTCACAGATTTTAACATTTTCTGTTCTACCCCGTGACATTTATTCTCTCCTGGTTCGGATCTGCATGCCAGCCCTTGACACAGTTTTATTTACCAAATCAATCATGCTTTTGCCTCTTAAATATTCCTATGGACAGACCATTTCCAGCTAAATCCAAAACTGTGTTTTTCCTGCTCATTGGGAATTTAAATCCAGCAGCTGTGGCAGGGAGCTGCTCAAACCAGCTCACCTACACCACCAGGTAAAAGCTGCCGTGTGCTCAACTCCAGATCCTTTATCGCCAGCAGGAATTTGAAGTTTCCCAGCCTCATCACCCTGAGGCACTCTGGGAAAGTCGGGAAGTTCAGATTAGCAGGGTTTTGCAGGAAATCAGTGGGTCTGCCAGTCGGTCAGAGCTCAGCCAGGCCTTGGGCACTCCCTGGAGAGCTCCTGCGGCAGAAGGGAGCCCCAGACATGCGGCTGGGGGTGAGCACCATCCATCTCCAGGAGCCAGCGGCTCCCAGGGGACCAGAGCTGCTCTCAGCTGCCATCCATAATTCACACTGAGTGCACGGAGCGTGGCTGAATTAATCCTGCATTTCCAGCAGGATTGTTTGGGAAGGCGTGGTGGGATGTGTCAGCAAAGTGCAGAGCTACCAACACCCTCCCAGGCTTGCAGGGAACCCTTCCGTCCCTTATTTTGTGGTACTGGGATGCATTCGATGCTGACAAAGAGGGAACGAGCAAATTTCAGTCCTGAGCTCCTCAAACTCCCCAGACAGATCAAGCAAGCCTCGAGGAAAGCAGCCTCAGCCCAGCACCGCAGCCAGGCCTTCCTTTGCGCCGTTTGCATCCCGTGTTCCTGCTCCCGTGCCTGACTCTACCTCCTCATTCCCGTCTGCTCAGGTTGAGATAAACCTCAAGCGCTACCCCACGCCCTACCCCGAGGATCTGAAGAACATGGTGAAATCCGTGCAGAACCTGGTGAGCAAACCCAGCCTGGGAGTGCGGCCTGAGAACGCGGCCCCGGCGGCCAGCACTGACCCCACGGGCAAGGACAAGTACGAGCACAAGTGGCCCCCCCTGACCCCCAAGGAGATCTCCGTGGAGGTACTGTCAAGCACCCTTGCTCCTCTCCAGAATTCCAGACCTTTTTTAGGGTCCAGGCCTTTTTTTGGAGCCCCAAAGGATGTTTTGATCCGCTGGGAGCCTCAAGGCCCGAGAGTTCCTTGTTGCTCCTGTAACGTTTTATGGTTTAAAGTTTATAAACCCAGCTATGTTGAGCTGCTGTTTTGCATTCAGGTTTAGACTGAGCTGCTGAGTTTTGTCCAGTTTTAGACCGAGTGGCTGTTTTTCCCAATGCTGCTGAATTTTTGGGTTGAGATCGCCCTGATGGGAATTTTGCTGTGGATTTCTCCCAGCACTCTGTTCAGTTTCAGGGATGTGAGGTTGGCATGTGACACGGTGTGCACCATTTCCATCCCATTTGATCTCTCCTTGGGTCTGGCTGGCCCTGTGTGCCAGGAGGGTCTGCCCTTGGGGTTGCTGCCAGGAGCAGGAATCCAATTAACCCTGGCCAGAGTTAATGAAGGCAGCAGGAGAGCTCCTTGCAGGGCGGGGAGCAGCCATGGATGCTGTGAGCTGCAGAATCCAGCTCTTCCCAGAGTGTTTGCCAAGCACAGGGACAAATTCTACCCCAGGATTCATCCCCAAAAGGTGAATTCCTAAATCCTGCAGTCCTGCTGGAGCTTGCCGTGGAGGTACTGTCAAGCACCCTTGCTCCTCTCCAGAATTCCAGACCTTTTTTAGGGTCCAGGCCTTTTTTTGGAGCCCCAAAGGATGTTTTGATCCGCTGGGAGCCTCAAGGCCCGAGAGTTCCTTGTTGCTCCTGTAACGTTTTATGGTTTAAAGTTTATAAACCCAGCTATGTTGAGCTGCTGTTTTGCATTCAGGTTTAGACTGAGCTGCTGAGTTTTGTCCAGTTTTAGACCGAGTGGCTGTTTTTCCCAATGCTGCTGAATTTTTGGGTTGAGATCGCCCTGATGGGAATTTTGCTGTGGATTTCTCCCAGCACTCTGTTCAGTTTCAAGGATGTGAGGTTGGCATGTGACATGATGTGCACCATTTCCATCCCACTTGATCTCTCAGGGACTCCTTGGGTCTGGCTGGCCCTGTGTGCCAGGAGGGTCTGCCCTTGGGGTTGCTGCCAGGAGCAGGAATCCAATTAACCCTGGCCAGAGTTAATGAAGGCAGCAGGAGAGCTCCTTGCAGGGCGGGGAGCAGCCATGGATGCTGTGAGCTGCAGAATCCAGCTCTTCCCAGAGTGTTTGCCAAGCACAGGGACAAATTCTACCCCAGGATTCATCCCCAAAAGGTGAATTCCTAAATCCTGCAGTCCTGCTGGAGCTTGGTTCTCTTACCCCACCAAAGGAGGGGAATCCCTTCCCAAGGGAGCTGAAAAGCTTGGAGAGGTCTGCAGGAATGCCAGCATTCCTGAGCATCTTTGCAAAGCTTTAATGCTGAAAAGAAATAAATGAGGAAAAACATTTTCCTTCTTTTTCACTCCTTTGTTATCTGAACTTTGTGATAAACTCCTTGTCCTTGAAATGCCCCTGTCTGTGGCCAGTCCTGTGGGCAGGAATTGTTCTCCCTCAGATTTCCATCTCTTTGGCACAAATATTAAAATATTACACATTCAGCTGTAGCTGCTTTCTCAGTGCTGTGTTTTATTTGCAGTCAAATATTTTCATTCCTTAAAAAAATAAGCCCCCAACGTTTTCTCCTCAAGTTGGCTTCAGGAGACTTCAACTCTAGGCATGATTTCAATTAGGACTAAAATATTGAAGTTAAATATTTAAATTCAACTAAAATAGTTAAATCACTCATGTTTCCATCTAAATCTGAAATCTTCAGTTCCACCATTATTTCTTTTTACTCATTAAATTCTCACTGTGTAAATCTGGTCCTTGAACCAGCTGGTGACTCAGGCCACGAGTCTTGACATCCTGCTCCTGTTGCTGAATATATAGAATTTATTTTGTATTATCTGTCATTTGAACCTGAGTATTCTCAACAGCTTTCTGTGGATTTTCATTATCCCTACGTGTTTCCACCTGGAATTTGATCCACGTGGCCTGGCGGTGGTTTTAGGTGTTTGGTCTCGTGGCCTCCAGAAATCAGTGTTTTCTTAGTGTTTGTTAAAATAATGTTAATTTTTTCAATGAAAACACAAACATCCCGGTGAGCCGAGCCCCCAGCAGGGTCCAGGGAGCTGGCAGAGCCAGGGAATGCATCTCCAGGGAGGAGGAAAGGCAGTGACACCCCAAACTTGGGATGCAGCTGGGGAGACATCCCTGGGGGTTGTGGATACAGGGATCTCACAGCACCCTGCAGAAGGAGCTGAGCTGCTGCAGCCAGAGCCCGGGGTGACTCCTGAAGTGCCACCAAATAATGGCAGTGCAGTTCCTCCCTCCTTCTCCCCCACAGCAGAGCTGGGAGCTCCCCCTGTTCCCACGTGCCAGCCGAGATGAGATTTCAGCTCCTGAGCTGTAATGGGGGAACTTTTCCAGATTTTAATTTCCCTGGGATGGAGTCAAGAGTGGAACCACAACTATTCCAGCAGCTGAAGGAAGGAAAAGGGATGATCTTGTCCTTCCCAGACATTAGGAGGGGTTTTTAGCTCTGATCAGGGTGGTGCAGATACATTTCCCTCTCCTTGGCTTCCTGCAGCAGGATAAAACACACGGGAAGTGTAGGCAGAGTGTGAATGGATTTGTGAACAATATTGGCCTGATTTCAGTTGTAACCCATTAAATAAAACATAATGAAGCTCCATTTGCTTTGCAGATAATTAGCAGAAAAACTCAAGCCTCGAGTTAAAGTGCACTTTGAAATTGCAGGTGTGTTGTGATGTAGCTAAAGGCTGAAGGCAGTTTCTGATCCCAGGTAATTGAATTTCAGGTGCACCGCTCACTTTTCATCCTCAGATAAGCTGGTTTCGGATCTCTTTTGGCTTTTCCTGCAATTAATTTGCACGTGTCTCTTCAGAAACTGTTTCTAAATAATGAAAGGGAGCATCTGGAATGAGGAGCTGCATGTCAAATCCACTGTACATCCTTCACCTCCATTCACAATAAGCAAACAATGTCTTGATTAATCATCAATTAAAACAAACCTCTTCATCATTCTAATTCTTTCTGGAAGATGTGAGTTTTGGCCAAAGAGGAGTCTGGGATTATTCAGGGAGTTGTGCTGCCTTTTCATGAGAAAAAAAATGAGGAATATCAAGATCAGCAAGTCAGGCCTTTACAGTTCCTGTTCTTGATGGGTTTGCATTGAGAATATCCCACATTTCCTCTGCCCCATCCCCTCCCAGAGCCCTGGGCTGCTCCAGGCAGATTCCAGGAGTCTGGTCCTTCCAAACATGCTGTCCTTGTGGATTATAATTTAATGTTCTTGTGTCCTCAGCCTGAATATTTGGTGATGTTTCTCTTGCCAGTTGTTTCAATGGTTTGTACCAGGTATTTTCTCCTCAGCACAGTTCTCTGCCCTCTTCCTGCATCCTTCCCCAGTTAATCCCGAGGGATAAATCCTGAGGAATAATCTCCAGGCACCTACTCAACACAATTGCATTAATCTCTTCCCCTTCTCCTTGCAATTTTCTTCCTATTAGTGACCTTTTTGTTCTTCAGCTTGTAAGAAAAAGGTCCTCTTAAAGAGGGAGGAATTAAATGGAATGTGATTTGGGGTTTTTACAGCGCATTTCACATATTCGTGGCAGACTCACAAATGCCAGAGTGGTCCTTTCAAAAGTGCATCGGTTTTTATTGGATAGCTGGGCTGGGGAATGAAAAGAAAAGGAAAATACAATAAAACAGGGAATTTCATGCATAAAATTCAGCATCTTGTCAAAAATGGAACTGTTGGGTCTTCCTCTCTTCCAGCAAAGTGGGGGGGCAGTTTAAGCTTAAAACTCCTGGAATTTTCACGGCACAATATTGGGATTCCAGGTCCAAGCTAAAGAAACCAAAGAACCCCCCAAGAGCCCCCAGGCTGACCCTGAGCTCAGCCCGAAATCACCTGAGGAGGCCCCGGGCAGGGAGGAGAGAGCCCGAGGCTCGGAGGTACCTGGAGAACTCAGCCCCTGCACTGCTCTGCACCCACACTGCCCCCAGCACCGGGCACCTGTGCAGCACCAGGGGAATCCTCTGCATGGGGAACGGAGGGCTGGGTCACTCCGTGCGGGAATCACCGTGGAAATGCCTTGAGGATTAGCCCTGAGGGCATTGATTAAACTGAGGATGGCTCTTCTGAGAAGGTCCTGCCTCCGGTGGAACGTCAGATACAGAGGGTTTGAAATAGCTCTGGTGCAGACAGAATTAAATTCTCCAAGGATAAATCACACGGCAAATGCTTGTACAAATCTCTGTCACTACAAAAAGTACTTAATGGCAGTAAACCTCTGAAAGTCTCCTCCTTGTAAGTGAAAACAAGGAAATGTTTTGAGCCTTGTAGCATTAAGCATTCTAGCAATGTGGATTTGGTTTGGGTGCTCCAGTTTAAATTGTTTCTCTAATTATCACCTCTCTCCCTCTGGCCTTTCCTGTCCAAACTCACTGGAGAACCCTTACAACCTGTCAGGGTACAGAGACCCTGCTGTGTCACCCATCCCTGTCTCCCCAGGACACTCATCCTCCTCATCTCTGAGCTTTCTGCAGGGATGAGAAAAGCCCCAAAATTCCCACTGGTGCCTTCATTCCCTCCCAGCCACCCTAGGGGCCTAAATGCCCTAATTTAAAATTTCTCTTTCTAAGAATGAGTCCACTTTCCTCCCCCAGTTTTACTGGGGTTATTTTCAGCACACGTCCTGTTGCAGGGCCTGTGTGAAGGTCAGGTGTGCTGAACCCTCAGGCAGAAGTTTATTAAATCCAAATAATTTTAATTTAGCCACAAACTCCTCAGAGACAAAGCCATTTTAATTAAGTACAGCTCCAGGGACAGCTGAATCTCTGGAAGGACTCACCAGAAATAACTGAGCAAGGAATCCTCCCTCTGAAATACCAATTGCTCACACTCAATTAGTGTTTGTTTCTTTCTGCTGGCAGCATTTTTGGTGACCTTGACTTCCTCAGAAATGTTTACACGGCCTTCATGTATCTTGCAAGTTCCATCTGGTTTGTCCACATTTCCATAACGAGCACATCACCCTAATTTTCAGGAGGATTTGCGTAGGATTAATTAGAACTTTCTGCTGACAAATCAGAACTTCCTGCGCTGCCCGTGTGGTGGGCTTGGGGTGTTTGAATGATCACGAGGAGAAGACTGTGAACTGCCTGTGTGCTGCAGACTGAAGCGTTGCTGTTCCCTGTGCTCACTCTGCCTTGTTGTGTCCCTCAGGATGCCTTTGGACATCCTGGCAGCGAGATGAGGATAGGGGAGCTCCGTCCTTCCATGCCCGAGACGCCGCTCTACCCCCCCAAACTCGTCCTGCTGGGTAAAGACAAGAAAGGTACTGATGGATTTGCAGCCTTTGGGATGAAACCTTGTGATGGGGATGTCCCACCATAGCCCGTGGACATTTGTGCACGTATCAGTACAACCCAGTGCGATACAATAATGGTTTTGACTTTAAAATGTGTTTTTCTGGTGTTTCCCAAGTGCCGCCCCCTGAAAGCGTTTGCTGTGTTTTGTTTCAGAGTCGACAGATGAGTCTGAAGCAGATAAGATCCATTGTCTGAATAACAGCGTTTCCTCAGGCACTTACTCAGACTATTCCCCTTCCCAGGCTTCCTCAGGGTCCTCCAACGCGCACGTAAAAATGGGCTCCCTGCAGACCACGGCTAAAGAAGCAGTGAATAACTCTTTGTGGGGGAACAGGTGTGACATCTTTCCTGACGCAGCTTCTGCTTCCCTTTTGTCCTCTCTGGGCCCTCAGAGCGACCCTGTTAGGGCATTTGGGTTTAAAAATCTACGTTTTTATCCCCTGTTGGCTGTGCAGAGATGGCCACCCTCCATATTCCATAATCCCACAGCTGCTGGTTCAGCTCTGTGCCATCTCCAGGCATTAAAGCTCCTGGAGGTGGAGCTGCAGCTGTTGGTGTCCCACTATTGCTGTCCCAGCTCCCTCTGCCCTGGATCTCCAAAAAGGTTCTTGGAAAGCCATAACCTGCACTGTAAACATTCCAGGACCAGCCTGTTCTCTCTGTGCCTGCCCTAAACCCCCTCACGTTGTTCCCTCCACAGCTCTGCCCCGTTAAAGAGCTGGATGGGATCAGGCAAAAACTGCCTCTGGTGTCTCTGGTTAAAAAGTGGGGGAAACCTTCTGCTGCACTCCTCCGTTATTTTTACAGCAGGAAAGTCTGTTCAGCAGGATTTCTGGGAACACGGCATGGAGCCAGCCAGGCCTTTGAGTGACTTCTTAGCTTCTCCGTGTGTGTCCTGACAGAGCCTGTGCTCCCGGGCTGCTGCCGCCATGCCCATACCAGTGGCACGGCATCCACAGAGTTCCCAACAGCCTGAGAGTAGCTCAGCTGGTGCTAAAAACATCGAGGGGGCAGGTTTGATTCCTGGACTCAGTGATCCTTGTGGGGCCCTTCCAGCTGGGAATATTCCGTGCTGAGGAACCCCAAAGTCTCCCGGTGCCAGCGCGTAGACGGGAGAAGGCTGAGTTGCTTTCCAAGGACGACGAGTGCTGACGTGCTGGGACAGAGGACATTTTATCTTGTTCCCCTCTCTTGTCTTTGCAGGCTGGCCCAGTCGTTCCCACAGCCCCTGGAGACCAAGCCATTGCTGAGCCAGCGGGAAGCGGCTCCGGCCGGGAACGTCCCGGCGCGCCCGGAGCGGCGCCCGCTGAGCGACGCCTTCACCGACAGCTGGAACGACGGCTCCCACTACGACAACACGGGATTCGTGGCCGAGGAGAGCGCGGCAGAGAACGCCGGCACCAACCCCCTGCTGAGCACCAAATCCAGGAGCTCCTCTGCCCACGGGCGCCGGCCGCTGATCCGGCAGGACAGGATCGTGGGGATCCCCCTGGAGCTGGAGCAGCCCGCGCTCAGAAACACACACGACTCTGAAGTGCCTCCTCCCAACCCTTGGCAAAATTGGACCAGAACCCCCAGTCCTTTTGAAGACAGGACAGCTTTTCCTTCCAAACTGGAAAGCACCCCCAACACCAGCCCTTTGCCCGAGCGGAAAGATCATGTCAAGGAGTCTCCCGAAATGACGAGCACTTTCACTCCAGGAATTCCGTGGGAATATCACGACGCCAACGCTAACAGGAGCCTCACAAACGTCTTTTCCCACATGCACTGTCGCCCAGACCCTTCCAAAAACGTCATCTCCATCAGCAAGAGCACGGAGCGGCTCTCCCCGATGATGAGGGATTTAAAAACGAACAAGTTTAAGAAGTCGCAGAGCATCGACGAGATCGACATCGGTGCGTACAAGGTGTACAACATCCCCCTGGAAAACTATGCATCCGGGAACGACACCGTGGGTCCCCACGAGAGGGTGGACAAGCTGCTGGGCCCCGAGCACGGCGTGCTGAGCATGTCCCGCAGCCAGTCCGTGCCCATGCTGGACGACGAGCTGCTGACCTATGGCAGCGTCAAGGTGCAGCCGCAGCACAAGGCGTCGGTCACCAAGAAGGTTTATCAGTTCGACCAAAGCTTCAACCCCCAGGGCGCCGTGGAGCTCCCGGCCGACAAGCGGCTCCTGCCGCCCTTCCAGCTCAACGCCGAGTACCTGCCCCAGCCGGCCAAGAGCCTGCCCCAGGAGCTGGTGAGCCCGCGGGGCTACCGCGGCTACGCGCCCGTGGAGCCCATGTTCTCCTTCTCACAGCCCTCGGTCGGCGAGGAGCCGGTGGCCGCCCCGTTCCCCGGCCCGGCCGCGCGCCCCGGCTTCCTGCGCAGGGCGGATTCGCTGGTCAGCTCGGCGGAGATGTCGGTGTTCCGCAGGGTGGGCGAGCCCCAGGAGCTGCCCCCGGCGGACAGGTACGGCCGGGCCCCGTTCCGCGGCGCCCCGGAGCGCCAGGGCAGCATGGCCGTGCCCGAGGCCCAGTTCCTCAAGCGCAACGGGCGCTACGAAGACGAGCACCCTTCCTACCAGGAAGTGAAAGCCCAGACTGGGAGCTTCCCAGTTAAAAACCTCACGCAAAGGAGGCCCCTGTCGGCACGAAGCTACAGCACAGAGAGCTACGGCACGGCCCAAACGCGGCCGGTCTCAGCGAGGCCCACCATGGCAGCTCTGCTGGAAAAGATTCCGTCAGACTATAACTTGGGTAACTATGGCGACAAGCCTTCCGATAGCAGTGATATAAAGCCGAGGCCTCCCCCTGGGAAGGGAAATGAGAGCTGTGCTAAAATGCCCGCTGACTGGAGACAACAGCTACTTAGACATATAGAAGCTAGAAGGTTAGACAGGGTATGTTTGGCATTTCTCTGCAATTAATGCCTTTAGTTGTGTGTTTCGCTCTGTCAAACGATTTGCACGTGCAGTGGTGACCACCAGAATTCCCAGGGATGAAATTCCTGCCGTGGTGTCAGAGGGACCGGCCCGCCGAGGGCCCTGGGGGTGCTCAGCTGGAGTGAGGGATCCCAGAAAATCCAGAGGCTCCTCACTGATGATGCCCCTTGGGACAGTCGCCGGGGTGGTGGCTCCGGGCTCCGGGTAAATCCGGAGGCTTCACGCTGGTGACGTTCCTTGGGGCAGTCACTGGGGTGGTGATTCTGAAACCTGGGTAAATCCAGAGGCTCTGCCCCAGTGCCCGTCACTGGGGTGGTGACTCCTGCAGCTCTGCCCAAAATTAGGAAGAACCCTGAGGTTCTCCCCTGCCCACGGAAGCGCTGCTGGAGCCACCAGGTCAGTAACGACCGAGAGCCTGGAGAGGTGCTGGGCACGTCTTGGCAGTAAAAGGGAATAAAGGAAAAAGAGAATAAGTAACAAAATGTATTTTAGCTCTGGTGTCACTGTTAGTGCAGGGGGCTTAAAAGTGTCTATAACTGAGAAATATCCCTGGGTATCCACTGCCACGGTTCTGATGGGAATGTGATCATTACTCCTTTTAGCTGTAGGAAGTTATGCTGATTTGCCTTCTATCCAAAGGGTACTTTAGTGCATGATTCAGTCATTACCTATTTAATGACCTAATCCATGAATCCGATTTACTCCGTGATCTGAAGTGGTTGTGACAAATTCCTGTGGTGAAATGCATAAGGAGTCATTGCCAAATGTGTCCATATACTGCTTTATGCTAGAGCCTCCTGAGTTTGGTGTTAATATTCTCCTTACTTACCTTCCAGTCACTGGGATATGATGATATTAGGTTATCCTTAAGGATCAAATGGGGAAACTTCAAAAAGGGTCTCCCAAGCCGGAGCATTTTCCTCCCTCAGCTCTTTTCCTTGTGCTGTGTAAACCCACTGGAAACTGCCTCCTCCCCAGGGAAACCAGTGCACCCCGAGCAGGGCCCTTCCTGGTGCAAATAAACCCTCGCCAGGTGTTGTTGGCTTAAGGAACATCTCTACACTTGGTTTACAGCGTGTATGAAGGGTGCTTTAACCCTGGAAAGCTGACACTGGCGGCTGTCCCTAACCCCTGCAAGGTGGTTCCTGCTGGGTGCAGAGCTCCAAGGAGCTGGGCTGGGCTGGTGGGAGCCCCAGGGAGCAGCCCTGTCCCTGGGCTGGGCACAGCACCCGTGTCCCTGCCCTGCCCAGCTGGTTTTTGGGGAGCAGGACTCTCTCCTCCACGCCAGGCACAGCCCTGGCTGCACAGCCCACCCCGAATTTGGCCGGTTTTTTTTGCAAAAAGCCAGACTTGCAGCAGGTGAAGTCCAGGTCCCACCACCCCCCTTGTGCTGTCAGCGTGGAAGTCCTCTCTGGTGCCCATTTTCTGTACGAGGAGCAATGTACTCGCTGTGTGTGACCAGTGCATGCCTGGAGGAGCTATCGGTACTCGGTACTGTTTGTTGGCTTAAACTAAAACTCTGTGAACTTAACCATGTATGTGTGAGACTTAATTCTGAGCATGTGTGTTCATATGTGTCCCGTGGTTGTTTCCTCTACTCAGAGCGCTGCTTACAAACACCACACAGTTAGCCTTGGCATGCTGCACTCTGGAGGGGTTTCAGCCATGCATGCCGGCCGAAGCATGACTTTAAACTTGCAGCCTAAATCTAAATTTGAAAACCAAATGCTTCAAGAGCTACCTCTACCGAAAGTAAGTATGGGCTAGCCAGCATTCCCGGCATTCCCGGTTAATTAATGATCCTTGCTTCCTCCTGGTTTAGCTTCTGCCTCTTCCTCCTGCTTTTAGGATGCCCAGTCCACAAAGCAAGGCTGGCAGGGACGCAGCTCTGCCCCTTGGTGGCCTTGCTTTTTGGATTCCGGGGCTCCCTGGCTGTCATTCCTGCTCTCCTGCTCTCCTCACACACGCCAGCGCTGTGATTTGCTCAGTGGGAAACGTGGTTTGCTCTGGGACTGTTTGATCCTAAAAAAAATGGGTGTGGAAATTGTGGAATGGGCTCCAGGAGGCAGGGATTTTAATATCTGGGCATTAATTGGGTGTGCTGTAACACCTGATGGATTTTGAACACATTACCACACCCAAACCCATTTTAAAATTCGAGAAACACCTTAAAAAGAGAATATTTACTGTTTATCTTATATTTATTATTACTGGTTTAACATTTACATTTAATTACTGTTTATCTTATATTTATTATTGATATATTGTTGACTAGCACAGATTTACTCCCAAAGAATATCTGAAGGGAGAGGCAAACAGCACAAGGCAGAGAGGGCCATTCCTGCAGGATTCTCAGTGCCAGGGAGGGATGCTGAGACCTTTCCCTGCATCCCAAGGGACGGGCATGGCTCAGCCTCTCCCTGCCCTGGCACAGGAGCTGAGGGGACTCAGCAGCAGCAGCAGCAGCTCTGTGAGTGATGAAAGGGCAGCAGAGCCCAGATCCCAGTGTTCCATCTGTGCTGGGAATGGCCAGGCTGGCCCCTGTGGAACAGCCTGGCCAGCAATTCCCAAAGGGTTGTCAGCAATTCCGAGGGTTCAGAGCTCACACCCCAGGATTCGAGGAGAGCAGGATGATGCAGCAGCAGCAGCAGGAGCCGGCCCAGAGCTCGGCCCTGCTCCTCTTGCCAACCCCACCCGTGCTCCAGCCGGAATTCCCGGCAACCCAGGGCAGGATGGCAGCACCCAGGGAGCAGTGCCAGGCCTTCCCCACTGTCCCCAGCCCTCCATCCCCTGTCACCTCCATGCCACGTCCCCCCGCGCTGCTCTGGGTGTGTGCTGCTCCGTGGTGGGGCGGGAGGCTCCGAGGGGATCCCCCTGGGTGTGTGTGCTGGGCAGGGACATCCCGGTGTTGTCTTTGCTTCCCCAGACCTTGTCTGTCTGCTCAGGTGCTTGTCACGAGTCCCTGGAAAAATCCACTGGGCATCAACCCCAAAGAGTGGTGCTGGTTCCCTCCACACGTTAGGAATGAGGTGGTTTGTGGCACTGCCAGGGTTTTAGGCTCTAGGTGAATGTGGATATCAATGATGGATGTCTGAGGAAACCCAGGAATCTGCTCTGTGATCTGTTCTGGGGTGTGGTCTGATGTGGGTTGTTCTGCTTTTCTATCTTACCAGCATTCCATTGCTCCATATCCATAGAAACTGTGATGCTGAACTGCACTGAGGGGTTGTTCTCTCGCTGTACTGTTGGGGAAAATTATTGTTGGGAAAGATCACTGCAGGGGGAAATGACTGTTGGAAAAATGCCGTGTATATTTAGTGTTGTTTAATTTTATTGCTTCACACCTTCCACGGAATTTGCATTTCCTAAAGAATCCAGGCCACAGCAGTTTAGTCCTTGCCTCTTCTCCTCCCTCCTTCCCGTGGCCTGGATTCAAGAGAGTAATGAGTGAGCTCTGGCTGTCAGGAAACCAACTTTAGCAATGAATTCCCTTGGAAATGTTCATGACATCGATCTGCTCCCCGCAGAAAATGTGGGAAGTGCTGCTTTTCCTCTTTTCCCCAGATTTCATGGAGGTGGAGCCGAGCTGCAGCCTGTCCCAGCTCAGAAAACAGCCACAGTTTTGGGGACAAATCCCTTTTGCCGCAGCAAATGAAATCCAGGATTTCCCTGTTTCTGGAGGAAGCTGGGAGCACTCTCTGCATTTTCCCTTTTCCCTCTGGAGTGCAAACTGCCCTCTGCAGGTCAGGCCCAGCTCTCTCCAGAGGGATCCTTTCCACTTCTGGCTGCCAGTGAAAAGTTTTTAAAGTTTTTCCATTTTAATGGGGGTAAAGAAAGCTCTGCAAGGAGATCCTGGGCTTTAAACAGGGGAAATGGTTTTTCTAGTGGTTTTTCATAGAAGGAAAATCAGAAATTCCATTATTTTTCTGGGCGATTTCTTGAATGATGAAAGAAATATAATGGAAGTTTCCTTTCACTTTAAATAATTAGGGTTGGACTTTTTTTCACTTCGCCTCAGAGATGTGATTTAAATAATAATTTCCTTCTATTTACTTTTCAACTTCTGTTTAAAAACAGTTTTTAATGGAAAAATCCCCACCTTTCACATTTCAAAGCAAATTTGATTAATCCTTCATCCATCTAGAGAAGTGTATCCTGATTTTTTTTTTTTTTTTTTTTTTTTTTTTTTTTTTTGGTTAACCCAAAGCTGGAGAAGAAATGCCTGGAATGGCAGAGGGGAGGAATAGATTTTTTTTTTTGCTCCTTTGCAGATTCCTATTAATCAATAAGCACTGAACTGTGCCAGGTGCTGTCAGTGGCAGGACAATGCTGGAATTTTGGGAAGTCTGACACCCAAAAGGTGTTAGGAAAACTCCCAGTGATGATCGAGAAATAGAGGGACAGAAAATGGAAACTCAGGGTGGGGCAGGAAAAGTCCAAACCCCCTTCGAAGTCCTGAAAACAGGAGTGAAACAACCAGGGGGGAAAGTGACAAGGAAGAAACACGGAACAGGAGAGAAAAGGGAATTATGAGCATTGGGGAAGCTTTCCCTGTGTGTTGTGACCTTTCACGATGAGGCAAACATTGAATTCCAGGTTAATATTGTACAAAAAAGGTCCCTGGCACGAGCCAGGAGGTTCCGGGAGCTGCGCACGGAGCCAGCCCAGCCCCGGCACTGCCAGCAGGGAATGTTTGCTGCAGAAAACACAAACAGCTCCTTTTCCTTGCTGGTAAATCCTTCCTAACAGAGCTCCTGCTGCTGGAACGAGCAGCGAGGAAGTCCTAACTCCAGAATTAATGCCAGGCTCTTGAAATATTGGAATTTTGCCAAAATCCGTTTCTCTGAAAGTAACGAGTCCCGCCAATGAATTTTCTCTTCTCTCTCACCATTCATTATTCTCATTATTTCTGTCCTGAACCTCTCGAGCCCTCCTGCTTGCAGAGAGCCCCCAGTGACGCTGTGTTGGTGGAGCACTGGGCAGCCTGGGCGCTGTGTGCATTGCTGGGTTGTTGTGGCTGAGTGTGGAGGGTTTGTGCTGTGCCTAAAGGCTGCCCTGCCTTTGTGAACAGACCCCGTCGCAGCAGAGCAGCCTCCTGGACAACGGGCAGGACGAGGTGGCCGTGGGCAGCCCCTGGACCCCCTACCCGCTGGGCCGGCGGGACGTGCCCCCCGACACCGTCACCAAGAAGGTAAGGGGTGCCAGCAGGCACGGCCCCAGCCCGCCCTGGGGACAGCAGGACAGCCCTGGGCAGCACCCGGGGCTGCTCCAAGGCTGAACGCAGGAATTGCTGTACTGAGGGCGGTGTTCTCATGGGGCACCTGATGCCTTGTGCAGGCTGCACACACTAAAGCAGCTCAGAGTCTGAAAATAGAAAACCCAAAACCTGAGGCATCAGGGGCCCTTTGTGTGCTCTGGCTCTGCTGTGGGCAGTGGGCACGGCAGGCTGCTCCTGCCCTGCTCCTGCAGGGTCGCATCCCGAGGTTTCACCCCAGTGATGTTGTTCAGTCCATAAACAGCACGAGGGGTGGGATGGCTGCAGCCCAGCCCTGCACAGGCACAGCCCTTGTGCTGATAAACTCCCTGGAAAAGGGGTTTCATTTCTGGTGCTTCTGTGGTGGTGGATATTGAATTCCAGTGCTCGGAGCTCCTGGCTGCCCCTCCCAGCCCCAGCTCTCAGGAGCTGCTCTGATCATAAAGCTGGAGACTGGAGAATCCTCACGGACCGTGTTGGAGGAGGAGCTGCAGGGATGAGCCAGGATAATCCCAGGGATCACTGTCAGGAGATCCACCCTGCCAGCCCAGAAGTCCCAGCAGTGAGTGACACCAGGATGTGCACGCTGGCTGTGTGTGAGGATCCCAGGGAGCTCCTCCTGCTCCAAGCTTTATCCTTTCATCAAGCTGCATCCCTTCACAGGGAGATGCAGCCAGGAATCCCTGAGTGCAGGAGGGTTGCTGTGGGTGGAAACAAAAGCCATTGCTCCCGGAGATGCCTCCCGGCACAGGAGGAGGAGGGAAGCTGATGGTGCGGGATGCAGCTGGCCCTGACAGCCGAGTTGTTTGTCCCCGACCTGCGAGAAATCGGGATGAGCGGTGTAGAGCCGTGCATTTCCCAGCTCCCGAGGCCGTGCCGGGCCGGGTGCGGCGCTCGGGAGCTGCGGGCCGGCTGTCCTGACGCGGTGCTTGCCCACAGGCAGGTAGCCACATCCAGACGCTGATGGGCTCGCAGAGCCTGCAGCACCGGAGCCGGGAGCAGCAGCAGTACGAGGGCAGCATGAACAAGGTGACCATCCAGCAGTACCAGCCCCCCCTGCCCATCCAGATCCCGTCCTCGCAGGGCTCCCGGGCCCCCCAGCCCCAGCGGTGCCTCATCCAGACCAAGGGACAGCGCAGCACCGACGCCTACCAGGAGCAGGTGAGGCTCGGGGGCACGGGGAGGCGCGGGGGGCACGGGGAGGCTCGGGGGGCACGGGGAAATAGAGGGCACCAACAGTCCCAAAGGGGCTTCTCCAAAGTGCCCAAGGGAGAGGGAACCTTGGGCGGGAGTGGGGGAGCTGAGCCCGGCAGACCAGGGGAGCTGGGACTGGGAGAGCCCTGGCTGGACTGGGAGAGCCCTGGCTGGACTGGGAGAGCCCTGGCTGGACTGGGGACAGGCTGGGTCCATGCCTTCCCCAGCAGCAGCCACCAATACCCATTTTCTCCCAGTCTGACCCAGTGACACCGTTTGGAATTGAGGTCCCCGGGCAGAGCTGGCATTCCTGGGTCAGACCGATTTAATTTCCACCTTCTGCCCTTTCCCCAGTGACCCCGGTCAGCGCCAGCAGGGCAGGGCTTTGGTGGGACCCTGCTCTGCTCAGACCTGCCCAGCAGAGCCCAGCTGCTGCCCCAGTGCCCCAGCCTGGCACAGGCACTGGGGAGTTTCACTCCCTGCTCCTGCCCCCCAGATTTGTCCTTCAGCAGGGCTGTGAGAGGCCCCTGAGGGCAGAAGGAGGTGCAGAACCATCCCCAAAGCTCCCTCCTTGGGGGGTGTCCGTGGAGCCCCAGAGCAGCTCCTGCCCCACGCCCCTGGTGCTCGGACCTGCTGGGGGAGGAGGTGCTCACACCAGCTCAGGGCACGGCCACAAAGCTCTCTGAGCTCATTTTATTGTACATCCCAATTCCCCAGCGCTCTTTGGAGCCACCCTGGCCACAAGAGGAGACTCAGCTCTGATTCCTGCAGGCTCCCAGATCCCAGCAGTGCCCCAGATATCCCAGAGGATTTTATCCCTTGGCTCTGTCCCAGGAGTGCTGCATGTCTGGCTCCTCCCGGGAAAATAAAATTACACCAGACAAAGCCTCACTGATGGGTTTATCCCAGTGTTTAAGTGAAAAACTTGGCCAGGGTGAACTTCTCTTTCACAAATCTAAAGGGTTTTTTCCTCCTTGAAAAGAGAATATTAAAAACCATGCAAAAATCTGTGAACCACAGGGAATGTTTTGGTACCACTGCAGTGTGGGAAAATGCTGCCAGTTCTTCCAGCTTATATATTTTATAATTTCATAATATTTTGATATTTTAGCAATATTCCAGCGGCTTTTCCCATTTTGTGGAGTGCAGGGGCTCAGCTCCTCCAGGGAAATGGGATGTGAGAGCAGGTTTCAGTGCTGACATCCCTGTTTTTCCTACCTAGTTTTGTGTGAGGATAGAGAAGAATCCTGGCCTTGGGTTTAGTATCAGTGGTGGAATAAGTGGACAAGGAAATCCATTCAAACCTTCTGATAAGGTAAGTTTGAAACTCCTCTCTCCCTGCTCCTTGTTTCAGAGGTCACAGAGTGGAGGCAGAGAACAGGAGGGGGATGCTGATGCCTCTCTGTTGGTGTCATTGAAAGATTTTTTTTTTTTCCATTCTTAGCTTTGTTCTTGGGTTTTGGGTTGGGTTTTTTGTTTTTTGGGGTTTTTTTTGGGGGGAGTTTCTTTGTTTTGGTTTTTTTTTGGGGGGGTTTTTTTGTTTTGTTTTGTTTTGTTTTGTTTTTTGGTTTTTTGGGGTTTTTTTTTTTTTTTTTTGGTTCTTTGTTTATTTTAGCAGAGTGTTGTTTGCTTGTTTTCCCAGTTAAAGAAGATGAGGGAATCAAGCATCAACCCCACAAGTGTCTGGCCCATATTCCCTGGATAAGAAAAAATTTTGGGCTGTTTTCTGGAGAATTGTCTCTCTCACTCTTTAAGAGTCAGCTTAGACCCCCAATTAAACTTTTAACAAATTAATTAAAGTATATTATATATATAATATATATTATAGTATAGTGTAAATTACATATATGTTATATATTACATATTATACATTATACATTATGAATTATACATTATATATTATATATTATATATTATATATTATATATTATATATTATATATTATGTATTATATATTATAATAAAAGTTACTATACTAAAGTACAGTATCATCCCTGGGGGCTGAAATTCCAGGGTTTGCAGCTGCTGTGACAAATAAAGGCAGCCTGGAAATCCCTGGATCCTTACAGGCCCCGTGGCAGCAGATGTCTCCTGTACTGGGAGTTAAAACCGACACCTGGTGGTGGCCAGGGACACTCGGGGTTCAGCTTGGGAATTGCACATTTAAGATAAATCGATTTGCAACAGAAAGAGGCCACCAAAACTCCAATGTGTGCTGAGTCCCCGCTGCCAGGGCTGTAGGATTGGGAAGTGGGCTCCTGCCCCTGTGGATTTGTGTTTGGGGCCTGGAACTGACTGGAGTTTGTTGGGAAAAGAGATTTCTGGAGCTGATGTTCTTGGGTAATACTGGATTCATGTTGCAGGGACAGTGGGAACTTCCATAAATATTTCAAATAATGAAATTGAAGCTGTGCTTCCTAGAGGAAGCAAAGATTGCTGTACTGATTATGATACACATTATTCCAATAATTAACACTTGCTCCATTTTAATTACCCTCCTGACAACCTGCCACTCTCGCCCTGTGCACGCTGGACTCTCTTTGTGATGTGGGATTTCAGTGTAAAATGACCCACAGTTATTGATAAGTGCTGCAGGTCCCAGGGAGCTGCTCCACCCCCAGACTGGTGTTTGATAACAAGCAGAATAAAGCAGTTTGGTGTTTCCCATCTCCAGGGCACGCAGAGCCCCCAGGCCCCAGCTAGGGAGGGAGCCCCGTGTTTTTTGGGATGTAGTTCTTGGAGAAAGCATCCTAACCTGTGTTACTTCTGACTTATAGGGTATCTTTGTTACTAGGGTTCAGCCTGACGGCCCTGCCTCCAGCCTGCTCCAGCCCGGAGACAAAATCCTCCAGGTAGGGATCCTGGGGAGTCCTGGGCTCAGAGCCCGGCCTGGAGGCACACAGGGTGGTGTTTGCAGCAGCTGGCCTTTGGGGGTTTTATTTACAGCTGTAAATGCAGCTGTATTTACAGTCTGGGGATATTGATTTGCAGCTGTTGTCCTGTTTGCCCTGGTGGCCACGGGTGCCTGGTGTGAATCAAAACCCGAGGGCAGAGCCCCAGGGCAGGGACTGTCCCCTCTGCTGGGGCACCTCCACCCCGTGCCCACTGCTGGGCACCCCCAAACTGACCCTGAGAGGCTGGAGTGTGTCCAGGGCAGGGAATGGAGCGGGGAAGGGGCTGGAGAATCCCTTGGTGCAGCTGGAGGCTGTGTCAGGACCCTGATCAGCCCCAGCCATTCCCCCTTTGTCCTCCTCAGCTCTTCATTCCAGATTCTCCAGCCAGATCCTCCCCCTGGAGTCTGTCCCTGCCTGTGCCACCATCTGGGGCTCGGGGGAGGATCCATCTCCCCCAGCCTTGGCCCACTGTCCCCACACTCTGCCCCACGATCTCCCTGTGGATCTTCCAGATCCCTGAGACCCCTCCCAGCCCTGTGCAGAATTCTGGGATTCCATTAGTGCCTCATTTTGGCACAGCTGTCGGTGCATTTGGCATCCTCCCTGCCTGGAATTTGGATTCCTCTTTCCCAGAGGAAAGGTGTTTCATTGTGTTGAGGCTTTCAGCGTGGTCAGACCCCGGAGCAGTCCCAGAGTCACAGCATCATTTCAGTGGGAATGAAATCACTCCTTGGAGCCCCCAGCCCAGCCCTGAAGCCATCCCACAGTGGACAAGAGAAATGTGTGCTTTGTGCCCACGAGAAACCCTCATGTGTTCGTTATTTATTTCAGCCTTGCTTTTAATTGCCAAATAGCCCTTTTTTTATCCCAAAACAAGCCACTAAAGCCTCTTCCCTTGTGTTTTCCCTGCTGCAGGCCAACGGACACAGCTTTGTACACCTGGAACACGAGAAGGCTGTGCTCCTACTGAAGAGTTTCCAGAACACAGTAGACTTAGTTATCCAACGTGAGCTTACTGTCTAAATATTTTTTTATAAATAGTAAATATGTCTAGCCAGATCTAATGTTCAAAAGGATTTATACATAGGAAACCAATTTTTTGCCAATTGCTGGACCAATGGCAAACAGTAGTGCCAAATGTATAATACTCTATGTTAGTACCAATCATCGGGAGAAAATATAAGAATTAACTCTATAAATATATTGTTCATGTGGCTCCGTATTAGTTTTACTTGTCAGCCTCTGGCTGTGCATTGGTGCGTTTTTTTAACCAAGTTCCTTCTTAAAAGTCAATTTCATATGATTTCAAAACACAGAAGCACATACAAATCCTTTAGGAATTCTGCTATCCATCAGAAACACTGCCTCAAAGTTGTATATGCCTTTATAAAGATGAAATATATTAACCTGTACTTCCCATGAAATATTTCTATCATGTCGCATACGAAAGTATAGAGAAGAAAATATTTTCATAAACACCTCAAAGAAAGTATATATTAAATTAAATTTAATAATGTTCATTTATTTTCAATGCAAAGATATTCTATGCCTTATGAAAATACCTGTACATATGCCGTGTGTATAGCTGGCTCCGTAGGGATCAGGAACAATTCACTACACAGGGTGAGAGACTTCTCCAGCTGTAACTCTGGGACCTCGGGACAAGGAGCCCACGTGGGAACGGGACAGCTCCCCTCCCCCTGGAATGGGTGAGCTCCCTCTGGGATGGGTGAACTCATTCTGGAATGGGTGATCTCATTCTGGAATGGGATAGCTCCTTCTGGAACAGGATAACTCCTTCTGGAATGGGTGAACTCATTCTGGAATGGGATAGCTCCTTCTGGAACAGGATAACTCCTTCTGGAATGGGTGAACTCATTCTGGAATGGGATAGCTCCTTCTGGAACGGGATAACTCCTTCTGGAATGGGTGAGCTCCCTCTGGATGGGTGAGCTCCCTCTGGAATGGGTGAACTTATTCTGGAATGGGATAACTCCTTCTGGAATGGGATAACTCCTTCTGGAATGGGTGAGCTCCATCTGAAATAGAATAGCTCCCTCTGGGATGGGATAGCTCCCTCTGGAAAGGGTGAACTCATTCTGGAATGGGACAACTCCCTCTGGAACAGGGTAACTCCGTCTGGATTGGGGTAACTCCCTCTGGAATGGGATAACTCCTTCTGGAATGGGATAACTCCGTCTGGAATGGGTGAACTCCCTCTGGAACTGGGTAACTCCCTCTGGAACGGGATAACTCCTTCTGGAATGGGATAACTCCTTCTGGAACAGGGTAACTCCCTCTGGAACAGAGTAACTCCCTCTGGAATGGGTGAACTCCTTCTGGAACAGGGGAACTCCCTCTGGAACAGAGTAACTCCCTCTGGAATGGGATAACTCCCTCTGGAACAGGATAACTCCCTCTGGGATGGGGTAGCTCCCTTCAGAACAGGTTAATTCCCTTTGCTTTGGCTCTTCCCTTGATTCCATGTGCACACACTACAGGAGAACACCGAGGACAGGCAGGTTTGGCTCACGGATGGAGGAAGGTTGTGATGGTGGCAGTAAAACTCCTTTTGTTGCTGCTAATTTAACTCGTTAATTTTTCATTTCAGACTCCCCATTGACATTGTTGTGTATTTTCCCCCCTGCTCCAGGCCCTGGCGGGCCCTGCTCGGGATATTCCCGTGGGTGAGGCTGTGTGGGATCCTGGACTGGATCCTGGAAAGGGATGGGCACAGCACATCCCAGGGAGCAGCAGGTGACCCCTGGGAGGAGCATTCCCAGCACAGGGCCAGTGGGACAGCCCCTCATGTCCAAGTCCTGGGGCTGTTCCCAAGGGAGAATCCCAAAGCCCGGACTGTGCCCAGCTGCTGCTGCTTCAGGGGTGCCAGGGTCCAGCCTGGTTCTCCCTGACAGCAAAAAGGGAAAGCACAGGGAAAGCCCTGCAGGGGTTCCAGGGGATCCCAGTGCCCTCGAGCACAGAGGGACAGCTGGCTCTGGGATCACCTGCACCATTCCCACCCAAAATCCCACAGCCAAGGGTGCAGCCACAGCCCATGGGGATGTTCCACTTCTCCAAGAATTCCCAAACCTTCTCTCTCTGGCTGTGGGACCTGGGCAGCTGCAGGCCCAGGGAAGCCTCCAGGACCCTCCACCCCTAATAATTTCCCATTTTCCCAGTGCCAGCTCACAGTTCCTACCCAGGTGATGGCAAATCAGGAAAGTTCTCAGCCAGTCGTTCCCAACAGTGACAATTTAACATCCTCAAATCCGGTTTCATGTTTTCCAAGGTATTTTTAACACATCCAAGTCTGCATCTGTGTTTGGTGGCAGTGCCAGCCCTGGGAGGGGACAGGGGCTCCACACAGGGAGCAGGCAGGACAAGGCTGAGGGTGAATGGGGCAGCTGAGAGCAGAGCCAAGGAAATCCAGGAAAAATCTGAGTAGGAAATGTCCAGGAGGTCGGTTTGCTGTTGGTAGTGAGCACTTGGAGTGTAAAGATGTTAAACCCCTTGGTTAAAGCCCTTTCCAGGGCCTAAAGGAGCTCCAGGAGAGCTGGAGAGAGACTGGGGACAAGGGATGGAGGGACAGGACACAGGGAATGGCTCCCACTGCCAGAGGGCAGGGCTGGATGGGATATTGAGAATCAGGAATTGTTCCTGGCAGGGTGGGCAGGGACTGGGATGGAATTCCCAGAGCAGCTGTGGCTGCCCCTGGATCCCTGGCAGTGCCCAAGGCCAGGCTGGGCACTGGGGCTGGAGCAGCTGGCACAGTGGCAGTGTCCCTGCCAGGGCAGGGTGGCACTGGGGGGGCTCTGAGGCCCTTTCCCCCAGCCCACTCCGGGATGCTGGGACCCCTCTCTGCTGCGGTTCAGCACTGAATTTCCCGACGCAATCAGAAATGCCTCTGCACAGACAGAGCACAGAGCTCTGAGGGGGAATGCAAGGGCAGGGAATGCAAAACCAGGGACATGAACCCCCACAAAGGGATCAGCTGAGGGCAGGGCTCCAGGGAGGCCTGATCGGGGGGGATCAGGGAGTTTATTCCCAGGAAGTGCCCGTGGATGAGGGGTGTCCTGCTGGGATCCCCTGGGCAGGCAGAGCCTGTCCCACAGCAGCAGGGTTGGGGACAGGTCCCAAAATAGCTCAGGGGGTGACAGCTGCGGGGTCAGCACCCACCCTGGCAGCTTTTGGACATAAATAAACACAGCGAGTCCCACCTCAGCTCGAGTAGGAATTTCTTTCCCTGGGGTGGCAGAGCCCTGAGCAGCTGCCCAGTGTGGGTCTGGGGTTTCCCTCTCGGGGACATCCCAACCCCAGCCGGACACGTCCCCGTGTCCCCTGCTCCAGGCTGGGCTGGATGATGTCCAGAGGTCCCTCCTGTGATTCTGTGAACTGGTGGGATGTCACAGTTAGAATTTCCAAAGGAAATTGGGGATGCTGTGCCAGTCGGAGCTCCCTGCCCGTGCCCGTCCCTCGCCATCCCTTTGGAAGTGCCCGGTTCCAGGGCTGTCCCTGGCAGGCAGGGCAGGCCCATCCGTGCCCACACAACTCCCTGGGCAGCAGTTTGGACAGGACATGGGTCCAGGGATCCATGGGGAGCCGGCCTGGCCCTGGAGCCACGGGCAGGCACAGCCGTGGTGCCACCACCCAACCCCAAACAGCACCATTTGCAAATCACGGAAATTCAAACAAAACAAAAAAAACGAAATCCCCAAAAAAAGTGTTTTGCCGATCCTCTCCCTGGCTGATTCCAGCTGGTTTAGTGGAAGGGACTGACTGGCACCAGTCTGGGCACTCCTGGCACTGCCCATGGCACAAGAGGTGGCACTTGTCCCCTTCTGTGTCCCTTGGGTGGCGGTGGCTGTGTCACCTCCCTCCTCCTCCTCCTCCTCCCCGGGCAGGGCACTCGCTCATCACTTCGGTTTTCTACCTGTGAGTACTGTATCCAGTTCAGAACCAACAGCTTCCTTTAGTAAAGATTTTACCATTTTATAAAAGACATGTTTAATTATGATGGAGATGGCTGTATTGTAATTAATATTTTGAGATAATTGTGATTTTGAGCTTAAATTATATACAGAAATGGTCATTTTTGTATGTGTTCAAAGATTGCTATATTCCAGATGACTGTACTTTTCAGTTGAATTCCAGTATCCATGTAAATAAAGCTGAATGAGGAAATATTTACTACTTTATTAACATACATTGTGAATGTACTTCATGTTTTTTGCAGTATAAAGACTTACTGAACTTGAAAGCTGCTTCATTTTATGTGCAAAAAGGTACTTCAAAAATTCTATTTTAAATCTATTGATTGAGTGCAATCAGCTCCTGTCCCTTGGCACATGCAGGTTGTCCCCTCCCCGTGCCCTGGAGGGCCTGGCCCGTGCTGTGGGGGCTGCTCTGTGCAGAGGGAGCCCAGGGACTGAACCGATGCTGTGCAGTGCAGCAGAGCCATTTTCGGCTTTGCTGTACCCACCTTTTTCAGTATTTCCAAAAAAAAAAGTGTTTTGAATAACATTAAAAAGTCTCTTTATTGTATAAATAATAAAAACGTCACCTTATTGTAAGGCTTTCGGGTGGTTTTTTTTGGGGTTTTTTTTTGCTGGCAGAAATGAGGTTTCAGAGGGTGGGGAAGGGGGGAATGAGCCTGGAAAATTGGGAAACTCCCAACTGGGACTCCCCTGGTCCAGCTGCAGCCACTAGGAGACATCAAATATGGAAAGGGAGCAATGGAAATGGGGAAGAAAACTCAGGTTTGGCAGCTTTTAGGGCAAATGCATGGAGGACAAATGCATGAAGAAATGGATGAAAGGACAAATGCACACAGGAGAAAGTGTATGGAAACAAAAGGAGGCAGGGGCTGAGGGCAGCAGCAGTTCCATCATCCAAGGAGCTGCAGAAGTGGCCCTGGAGCTCCAGGTGTCCCCTGCTGCCATCTGCTTCCCACGGGGCAGATCCTGCCCTTCCCATCCCCACTCCCCCAAAGCCCTTTCCCATTCCCTTTCCCATTCCCTGCAGCC